GCAGTCCCTGCACCCTTCCTGACCAAGACTTACCAGCTTGTAGATGACCCTTGCACAAATCACATTGTGTCTTTGGGAGAAGATGAAACCACTTTTGTGGTTTGGAGACCCCAGAGTTTGCAAGGGATCTCCTCCCAAACTACTTCAAGCATAACAACTTCTCAAGCTTTGTTCGGCAACTCAACACTTATGTGAGCAACAAAACTTCTCAGCACTTTTTGCTTTTCTCCATACTTCTCGGTCCCTTGTATGGATTATGATCATTTGAGTTTGTTTATTCTTTTAGTTCAGAGTCTTGCTTTCTTTCTTTCTCCTGTGTTTCCATTACTGATCTATGGAGTTGGATTGCCGCAGTGATGGATTTTATTAAATAAACCTTCTAGCTGCATCGTTTTTTGATTGATATGAGCAGTAAAGCCATGGTTATCTCCATGTTTGTTACCTTAATGGAATAGATACCACTCTTGCATGTAGCATTGAATATCTTTTCTGACCTTTTTGAGAAGGGCTCTTGTTTCTCTAAGCATCTTGAGAAAGGTTGACCAACAACATTTCTTTCTAAAAATTATAAAAGATGGTTTTCTTATTTGAGATCTAAAAGAAGACTTAGAGAGTTTTATATATATATTTTTTATGCATTTTTCCATGACTAGTACTAGCTTTTTTTTTTCAATTGTTGTATGGACTGAGGATTTTTTCTTCAAATCTATATATTTTTTTTATGTATTTGACCAACACAGTAGTAAGCTATTGGCCTTCTATTTACATAATAATTGTGAGAAGAATGAGCAATTTTTCATTGGGTTTTGCGTTGTCTTCTTCCAAAAAGAAAACTTGGTTTCTGGAACAAGCTGCACTTGAAATCAGTTTCAAAAGCTTTTATGAGTTTTCCATATGAATACTTCTTGAAGATGGTGTCTGAAACAACTCTTGTAATATTTTCTCTTATTTGATAATAAGATTTTCTTCTCTCATTTTCCTTTTTTTTCTGTTTATTATATGTACAGGGATTTAAGAAGATTGATGCACATAGATAGGAGTTCGCAAATGAGTTCGTCAGAAACAGAGGGAAACACTTGTTGTCTGAGATCCACAGAAGGAAAACACCTCAAAGCTCTCAACAGCATCACCAACAGTACATTGATGCACCAACCCCGTTTCTCAGTTCAAATGAAAATGGCGGTTGGGTTGAGTCACCATTGCTCACAGAGGATAACCAATGCTTGAGGAAGAGGAACTACATGCTCTTATCAGAACTGACCCACATGAAGAAGCTTTATAATGACATAATCTACTTCCTCCAGAACCATGTAAAACCAGTGCCTGCAAATCATCGAAGGTCCATGAGCTTGGGGCCTAGCTCATAGAAATGACTCCTTCTCTTCAAGCACATACTCTTTTTGGCCTTCAAACCTTCAAAACCTATGGTACGAGCAGCTGTTCGGTGACATTAGCTGAGGAACCCAACAACACAGTCATGCTCTTCGGGGTCCCTCTTCGTGGGAAGAAGAGATTGCACCTAGAAAATATTGATCATCATGAAGAGCCACAATGTGGGGTTTATCTTGATTAGCATCATTGACTATGATTTTTTTCAACTACCATTTTCTAGTTCTCTATCGAGGTATCATCATAAGGGACGCTATGTAAGTACGAACTGTTCAGACAAGTGAAGCTTTTCTATGATCAACATTAGCTTTAAATCAATTTTCCCCTCTTTCTAATAGCTTAAACTTTGACAAAATCCACATCTTTTGCATCTTGGAGACAATGATCACTTAAAAAACCATCCAAACCGTATATGCTCAGTGTTGGAAATGCTTTTATAGTTTCTAATATGAGCATCTCATTTTCAGTAAAAATTGAAAACCACAAACAATAAATTATTTTTCAAGTATTATTTTAGCTCATTTTTTGGGTTTCTCTGCTTTTAAGCATAAAAAAAAAATAAAACAAAAACAACAAGAGCTTAAGTAGTTAAGTTGGTAGGTGAAGTCCCTGAACATGTTTTCTTCTCCAACACACCCACTCACACCAAGCACAGACCCATTCATAACTAATGCAACACTAGACCACTTGGTCAAACCGGCTCTGATACCATCCTAACTCTTGAGGAATCGTTCAACTTACCTTTGAATAGGTTAATTTTATTCTATGACAGTTTACTCAACTCATGTGATTTTTCAATAGTGGTTAATGTAGCTGGTTTGAAAAGTCTATAATTGAACATTCAATCTTACTAAGTTGGTGAATTAGGAAAATTTATTTTATGTTAATTTACTTATTCCTTTTGATGTGTAAAGCCTGATTGTGGGTATCACAGACCTGATCCACCTAATTGAATTAAGTCCAACTAATAAACATGTAGAGAAAGAGTAGTTCATTATTATTGTCCCTTTCTGACTATCAAGCACCGATCCTACTTAGGGCTGTTCATGGGTCGGGTTGGGTCGGTTTACTAGGGTTTTTCCAACCGACCCGACCTGGTCAGGTTACCTGAAGTGGAAATCGAAACCGACCCACTGATAGGCAAAACTGACCTGGTCGGTTTGATTCGGGTTGGGTCGGTTTGGATCGGTTTCAGTTTTGCTCCTGTACAAAAAGGACAGAGAAGCCTAGAACTATAAGGAAATTTATTTGAGAAGATGGGAGAGTTGGGAGAGCCAAGTTCAAAAATCAAATGATGTCTTGAGTTGAGGACTTGAGGGGGGCGGACCAAGTTAGAGAATAGAAGAGAAGACAAAAGTTATCAATAAAATAGAAAGTCAAACTGTTTTTTAGAAAGAAGGCTGAAATATTTATATTTCAAGAAACTTTCTAAATTCTAATTGTAATTGCCTAATGGGTTGCCTATTTGGTGTAAAAGACTATAAAAACTATATTAGATACAACTTAGGTAAAAAAGGACACCTAATTCTAATAGAAGACAAAAGTTATCAATAAAATAGAAAGTCAAATTGTTTTATAGAAAGAAGGCTGAAATATTTATATTTCAAGAAACTTTCTAAATTCTAATATAGGTAAAAAATGACACCTAATTCTAATTGTAATTACCTAATGGGTTGCCTATTTGGTGTAAAAGACTATAGAAACTAGGATAAATACAATTTAGTTAAGTAGGAACTAGAAGACTAGTTAAGTAGGAACTACCGAACTAGAAGACGACTAATTGGTTCAGTTCGGTTCGGGTCGGTTTCGGTTTTCACACAAGAAAATCGAAACGACCCAATATATCGGTTTATGAATTTGGCCAACCCGAAACCGACCGGTGCTGATGAAAACCTGACCGACTCGGGTTGGGTCGGTTCGGGTTGGTCGGTTTGGTCGGGTTGGGCCTTCTTATGAACAACCCTAATCCTACTGATCTAGCCTGGAAATAATACCTATTCAGATCCTACATAGTATAACTCAATCAAAACCCAAAATGTTGGCATGCTAGGCAATTTGAATTTAGTTTTTATGGATCATAAAAAGTGACAGATTTTGGGTTGAACGGGTCAATAGTTCGATCACCCGGGTCAACAGTTTGTTGACTTTTTCAATGTTTTTTTACCAGATTCCAGGTCTGGGGTAAAAACAAAACCGGTTGCCTGGACGGTTCTCGAGCTGAATGGTCTGACCGTCCGGGTTAACAGCGATTCGAAAGCGTTGGTTTTAAGTCAATTTTGTTTTTTTTAACATTACCACTCACACTCAACTATGATGAAGTAATTGAAGTATGGTTTTATTTTAGGACAATCAAATAGATCGACGCTAACACGAGTGAAGAATCAAACAAGTGGCTACACCCAATTTGTTTAAGATTTTTATCTGGTTGTAGTATCATTCATTGGTCCAAATATCTTGTGCATCGCATGGGGCATTCTATTAGTATTGATGAAAAGTGAGGGAGAGGATAGATAGGAATTAGATATAATTTAGGAGAGAATCTCTACTAAATTAGAGATAATTTAAGAGAAAAATATGAATTATAGATAATTTAGGAGAAAGTGGAGGATAGTGGTGCCATTTGGTTAGATTAGATTAGATTTTGATAGAGATAGATTTTAGGAATAGTTTTAAGAAGGGATATCCAAAGGGATAAACATAGAGGAAAGAGGGGTGGGCCAGACATGGTGAGGTGTCATAATGAGAGAGGGAGAAGGGAGCAATGAGTTAGCTTCATGAGGAGTCCGGATCTCCTACCCACACAAACTGCTCACATCTGCCCACAACACACTACCCCTCATGAATTGGGAACATCTCCCCTTACATAATACTATGTAGAGGATGAAATGTTTTCCATGTGTGGCTGTGATATACGTGGATAGAGTTTGTGTGGGTAGGAGGTCCAGATCTCCTACCAGCACAAACTCTGTTCATGTCCTGCCCACACAAACTCTGCCCACGTCTACCCACAACACACTACCTCATGAATTGGGAACATTTCCCCTTGAATAATACTGTGACATGTTAAACGTGGGCAGGAGATCCGGATTTGCAATACGAATTCGACATAAATTCAACGGATAAGGTTTGATTCGATTTCAAATTTAAATGAAGAAAGGTTTGCCCGTATCCCATTCCATCCGATCCGTTTTCCGCCCTAAAAACACTCGTGTAGTCGTGTATACGTCGAGGGTGACGTTTTAACATGATCTGTGTCCGCACATCAGTATCACTGGGCCCCAAAGTTGGAATGAGTTGGGAGCGATTTATTGCTAGGCACCAGTCTTTTCTTGGCATTTTTTGCTGACGTGGAATTAAGCTATAAATCAAGAAAAACACTAAAAAGACAAAATTACCACTGCATATTCTAATCTATTAGTTATTTTGAATGGTGGTGCCTTTGTCTTTTCAAATGGATTTTTGTTCCTTTATTATGTTCCCAAATAAGCAAGTGTACGGTGGACAATCCATGAGATGGGACCCAGTGAATGATGTGTCCTTTACAATTAGGACACGTGGGCGGCCGAGGAGAGTTCTTTCGTGGCACTGATAATCACAAGGGCGATCTCGTTCTCTTTCCTTGAATAATTTCTCTGTTAATGGTGTTTTATCTTAATCTCTGCACTGAAGTTCAGTGCGGGTTGAATCCTATAATTAACTAGAGTTTCTTCTCTTCAATCTTTGTAGAATCTGTGAATCCTGAAACCCAAAGTATCAGGATATTAGGCTCAGTTTGGTTTCTGCAATGCAAGGTGCCATTTCCTTTAAGCAGCTAACATCGGGCGACAAGTCTCTGTTCTACCCCAATACCATCCGTACTCCCTTTAATGGAACAAAGTCCAGTGACTCCAAGAGAAGGAGTCTAAGCTTGTCCATTTCTGCAGTTTCCCAAAATGGTAAACTCTCAGTAACCCTAACTCTTGCTTCTTCGAAGTCGACAGTTCCAAATTTGAATGCGGGGTTTAGTTTAAGTGTAAGTAATGAATGCGGATTGTGCAAAACCGTATTAAAATTTTGAGGGATTTGTTTTCGTGATCGGTGTTTCGGTTTTGAATTTTGTGTCAATATAACTTTGGTTTCTGAAGCATTGTTCATGGATGTTTATTTTCTTTACATATTTGGCTACTGAGTTTGGTTTCCGTCTGCTCTCTATTCGAATTTCAAACTTTCAGCTTGTTTTGATTTGGAAGCACTTCTGCTTTTGCTTATGTTACGTGCACTTATGAATACCAGAAACTGCTTAACCATGGGATCTTTATATGTATAGCTATGTCCTTACACTAGTAAACATGTCAATATCGTTAGGTTCAGCTATTACTTTGGTGCGCTTCTGAATAATAATTGTCTTCCATCATCAATTTTCATCCGAATCTTTGATCATTACAGATTGTAACAGGATACCATTAGTTCTAAATTGATTTAACCCTGTTCTAAACTTGTGTTTTTTTTGACAAACTTCAACCCTTCTAAACTTGATGCTTTGGAGATGATTAAATACGTTATTGTGTACGTGGATGTGTAAATATGTAAGAAAAACCTGCAACACTTTTTATGACTGCAAATACATTCTTGTGATGACAACATGTTAACATTGGCATTGGCTGTGGTACCTCAGCGACAAACCCTGAAGCCCAGGATGCTTTAAAGCGTGCTCTTGCTAAGAAAGCCGTGGGACTAGTCAAGCCTGGAATGGTAGTTGGGCTTGGCACAGGAAGCACTGCATCACTTGCCACTGAAGAGCTTGGGAGGCTGATTAGAAAAGGAAAGGTGAGGCTGCCAAATCAATTTATCATAGGGGTGCCCTCTGGATGTAATGTATTTCAGGCCATGGCTTGAACCAATTTCAATCACTGAAAAATTTTGGACTCTGACATGGATGTGGATATTGGTATGATGCATGGTTCAAAGTATCTATTGAGGGCCCGGGAATAGGATCTCGTCATGGGTCGGTCCACGGGGAAAACCTCTTGTTTTCCCTTGTTCCTTCCTGCTCTTGATGAACCTATCTTGGCGCCTCTGGTGATTTGTTCAAGAGATCACCAACTCTCCTACCTCACTTCTTCAACTGAATATTCGATATCTCATTCAATAATGGGGTCTCCTTAAATAGGAGACTAGGAAGGCGTCCATAACAGTATCACATTCTTGATACACAAAATTTGATTATTTTTTAATGTTTTGTTCTGATATTTTGACAGGCCATCTGTCGTAACCAATATCAATATTAATGTTTTAAAAACCGTAAATCTGAAAAAGCCTTTAAAATAGGCGTATCGACCACCTCAAGATATGAAACGATATTCCCAATACAATATGGGGTGTATTGTATTGATACTTCGAATCTTGGTATGCCAGGGCCCCGTGACATGTCCTTACTGGATAAAGAACTAAAAGTATGGTAATATAAATTGTTCATGTATATTCTTTTTCTTGACAGGGAAACTTAAACAACAGGTAATTATCAAAAAGGAAATCTTAATTAAATTTCAAGACAGAAAAGAAAGAAGCTTAATCATTTGGTGATTGTCAAAAAGAAAAGATTAATTAAAAATTGATATTTATAAGCAACAAATCTATCTTGAAAATCTTGTAAAGGACTTCAAAAGACCACAGTAAACACGAACACTTATCAATCGTGTCAGGTAAATTCTGTTGGCTTGTAAACCTCATTAATTACTTACCACTCCAAAACAGAAATGCTTTATAAAGGACAACCAATGGGTAAGAAAAAACCGACACAATTTCATTATAACAGATTAACAGCTTTTGTACAATGCATGGTTTCTATATTACTGAAGAATATGTCACAAAAAGTGGAGGTAGTAATCATACTTTTTCTAGATAAGGAAATCATCCTTCAGATCATCATAATACATTTTCTTTATACTATCATTACACATCAAACACAAGATTTTCTGATGGATCTTGCTTTTTGAATCTGTCAAACTAAAACACTTGCTTTTGAAGCATACTTCTCTGCAGAAGATAATCTAGTAACTTCCTCTCTCATAAAATGAATGCTCCATCTTGACACTGATGTTCATCTTCCACCCTCATCATTATTAGCATTTTATTCTCTTCTCACATGGTAATTCTTGTAAATTATTTGGCGTAGAAGGTTATGCAAGATTATGCTGTCCCTTGGCTGCTTCAATAATAAATGGAAAAAAATGTCCCTTATTGATTTTAGGGGGAGGTCTCCCAGAGGTCCTCTCTCTCTCTCTCTCTCTCTCTCTCTCTCTCTCTCTCTCTATATATATATATATATATATATATAACTGTTTTGAGATGATTTTCATAAAGCAAAATGTATCACTGACAGTTTAGTGAAATGGGGAATGAATGCAATAGAGTGTAAAACAAGTCTATATTTTCATGGTAAAAATTTGTACGGGTCTGGATTGATTCATAATCTTTTGATAAATATCCTTGTTACACAATCTTTTTTCAATATTTTTCTGTTCTATTAGAGAAGATAGAATAGAGAAATACTCCTCCTTGGAGACTCCTAGAGGTTGTATCCTAGCTAATCTTAATAGCTGGATGGTGAACAGTAAAGCCTTTGATGGTATCAATTGGAGTGACATTGCAAAGAAATTGGCCAATTCTGCTGTTGAACTCTCCTTTTCATCCTCTGCCTCCCATTAAAATCACCACAAGACAAGAAAGTGAGTTTATTCTGAACTTTGATGGAAGTTTCAGGAAGACTTCGGAGGGCTCCTCCACGGCAGGAATAGGCGGTCTGTTGCACAGATCAAATGGTGACTTGGCCTGAGATTTTAGTGGTCCTTCCAAGGCAGATCAAATGGTGCTTGAAGGTCTCAGAATTGCCAAGTCATAGCAGCTTAGTTCCATTGCAATGGAAGGAGACTTGAGGAGTGCCATAAATTGGGCATCTGGACAGATCCCTGATCCTTGGAAGCTCTCTCACCTCCTGTTAGAAATTTGGGAGATTTCCTCTTACTAGCAGTGCAGTTTTAGATGGATTACCAGAGAGTTAAACCAGTTGGCAGATGTCCTAGCAAAATCTGGGTTGGGAAGGGACTTTTTGTATAGTGCACATACATTGCCAAACTATCAGTGGGCTTTGTTTTTTGTTTTTTGTTGACAAGGCCTTGTACATCTCATTTACATCCCTCCCTTGATTAATGAAACCTGTTATCTTTTCTCAAAAATATTTTCTCTATTCTATTAATACATATCTTTGACCTTTATGAGAGCAATTCTCGAATCATGGGCCTTAAATAACAAAAAGACATTGTAAAACAGTATTTTGTGCAAAATCAGTAGAGCTTTTGGGTGTTGCATCTTGCCTTTTTGTTATTTAAGAGCAAGGTTTAAAATGTCGATGTCGATGAAAATGTTGCTTACCAAAATATAGGACATATGTCGGAAATGTCGAGGGGAAATATTGTAAAAATTAGAGACATTGTGGAAATATTATGAAATATGTGGAAATATGCAATGGTATTTTGTAAAATGATAAAAGAAGCATTAATACATATTTCTAGACTATTATCTTATTCCCAACCATTATATAAAGCTAAGAAACTAAGATCAATAACAAATTAGTAAATGATGATTTACTGATTTATTATGCATTTTGATGTTTTTACAAGGTTATCCGATATTTTCTTTTCTTATTTTTAATTCTGATTTATTATAAATTCTAATATATTTATTTCACACTAGTAAATAGAAATACATTTATTCTGATTTTTTAAATATTAAAGTTATAATACATTATGTTTTATTATAATTTTAATAAACTGATTCTCTTTTTTTGTAGTATTAAGATTATGATAAATTCTGATTTCTTATAAAACTTAATGAATTTATTATGATTTTTAATACTAAACTTATAATAAATTATGATTTAGTATAAAATATAATAAATTTATTCTGATTTTTTGTATTAAATGTAGAATATGATTTATTATAATTTAATAATCATTTTCTGATTTTAATAAATATTTTAAAAAATACTAACTAGTTAATATTTTATTACTTGAAAAATATTTTATGTTTTATATTATAAAGCAATTAATTTATTCTTTTGTTTTTATATTTTGCTAATTCTTTTTTATAAATATTTTATTTGAAATATTAAATAGAAATTATTAATGGAATAATTTATATTAATATAATGTATTATATTTTTTTGATGAATGATTAATATAATGTATTATAATAATATAATATACTAATATATTATATCATTAATGTACATTAGTTGACATAATAGGAAAAACTATCTTTTTTTTTGGTTATTTGGACCGGTTTGGTCGACATTTCCGAAATATAGGAAATGTCGATTGAAATAATGTAATTTTTATATTACCATCCATTTCCATGTCGATGAGCCTCGACATCGACATATGTCGGGCGACATTAGCGACATTTCGCAACATTTGAAACCATGTTTAGGAGCTCTATGGTGGACAAGCCTGTTACATAAGCATTAAGGGTGAAAGGGAACAATGACATTCTTATAAGAGCCGGACAATGAGAATATATGTAACTAAAAGAAGGAAAGAAAGACGAAACTATGAGGTTGGCATCACTAGATCCGAATACTTGGCTATTAGGGGTGGATTCGAGCCGAGCCGATCTGAATACTTGGCTATTCGAGGTCGGCTTGCTGAAATTGTGTTAGGCTCGAGCTTGAGCTCGATTCAAGCTAGAGATTTGGCTCGAGCTCGGCTCAATTCAAAGCTCACAAGTTCGAGCTTGGCTCAGCTTGAGCTCGACTGCAAGCCAAGTTTTTTCTAAAATCAAAAAGTATAAATATAAAAATATTTTTTATTTTATATACAAAAGATTAAGAATTATAAAAATTATTTACTATTATACTTAAAAAATAAGAATATTATATATATAATAAAAATTATTTCTTATATGTATATGTATATATAATATAAAAATATTATTTATTATACTAGGCTCGATTAAGCTCACAAGCCTCACGAGTCGAGCTTCACTTGGCTCGAGCTCGGCTTGATTAGCAAACGATCCTATACATCAGGCTCGAGATCGGCTCAAAGCTCGGTTTGAACTGAGCCGAGCCAAGCTCGAATAGCTCGTGAGAAGCTCGGTTCGTGGCCACCCCTAGTTAACATTGATGGTTTCTAGGAAATCTCATATTGTTAAACTGCCTAGTTAACTTTGTTAGATTTATTTAAAATGACGATATTACTCTTTGTCTATAACCTAGGAAATATTAAACCTGGTTCAGTTCTTGACATTGTTCTATCTCCTATGGTTGATTTGAAGTTGCAGGAATAGAACCATGTTACATGGTCTTTCTAAAAGTATAAGTTTTATATGATAAAAATTCAAAGTTACAAAAAGATTTACAAAATGCATAGGGAATGGCAATCAGAAGGTGATCTAAGGATCTCTATTGCCAAAGGAACTTGTTGGGACTCCCACTAAATTTCTGAGATACAGAAATGATTATGGAATGTAGATTAGAACACTGAAAGTTTGGTTGCTTAAGCCACAATGAGGTAGATTTATGATAACTAAAGTGTAGTAATGCAGCCCAAAGTTCAACTTGTTCTCATGATCTTATCAATGATTTTGTTGTGCCTCTTTTATCTCTTTCAGTTGAAAGATGTTGTTGCTGTTGGGGCAAACTATCAATCACGAGTTCTGGCTAGGCAATTCGGTGTGAAAACTGTAAGTTGTAATCAGGAAACATCTAGAAACTTGTTTATTTCATTTGACTTTATTGTTTTTTTAATTATTGTGAGCTTTGTTTTTGATACTTCAGCATTCAAGAACAATGAAAATAAAAGTTGTTTCCCCTTTTCCATATGCTTTCTATGATTTTCATTCTTTGCAGGTTGATTTGAATGATGTTAATAACATCGACATTGCATTTGATGGTGTAGACGAAGTGGACTTAAATAAAAACTTATTAAAGGTTGAAATACTTCTCACTTTATTTCCATTGTAGCATTTAACATTGATTACATTAGTTACTAATTTCTCTTTTCTTGCTAGGGTGGCGGTGCTGCACATACCATGCAAAAGGTAACTTGGTGTGTCTTAAAAGTAACTATTCATCTAACCACTTATACTTTATCATTCTACCAGAGTACCATGAGTTCAAAACTCAAAGTATATTCTAAGGGGGCACTAGTTATTGTTGCCATAGTAGTAAAAATCTTACAATTTACAATAGGATTCATGATTCAAATCATGGATATCAAGGGTTCTGATTGAATCTTACATCTAAACCATTTTCTGATAAAATATGTTCTGATTTTGTTTGTGAAACTTACAAATATAAATATAAATACTGATAAAAAACTTACAAATATAAATTCATGCAATTTAAATTAATTTGATTGGAACCTGTTGGTGTCGAGTATATAGGGGTATTTCTGTCTTTATACTTATGTTGGGGTTGCTGATGTGTAATATTATGTTAGAACTAGTGTCCCTCACTTAAGAAGGGGCACATGTGTCTTTTCCATTATGTTAGTGATATAAAACATATCTGGCCGAATGGGAGAAGTAATTTTCTCTCATTCGAACCAGACTTTTCTCCTCTCCTTTCTCTCTCTCTCTCTTTCTCTCTCTCTCTCTCTTTCTTCTTTCTTCTTCTCTCCTCTTGGCTGTTATCAGACTAACAGAACTCAAGGGCAGGCCGAATCATAATATGGTATCGGAGCACAACTAAGCAACTCAGATCTGCCCAGATTTCTGTTTTCTGCGCACTCAGTCTAGGGTTTTCTCTTGGTTTCTTTGCCATCGGTTGGAGATAAGGGAAAGGGCTGAAAAGGAGTGGTCTCCCTCTTCCCTTGGAGGTTTCTATGCCTCCAGTTGTGCTGTTTGTGGTCGGTTGCTATGGTTTCTAAGAAGCCCTCCCCTAATCGATGAAGAGAAGAGGGCTGATTCGTGTGGTGCAGTGGGTATCTTGTGTGGTTTGATTTTCGGGTGATGAGGTAAGAGATTTCTATGCATTTTTTTTTGTTGTGAATCAAATAAGAAGTTTGTTTCAGATCGTATGGTGGGATTTCAGATTGTAGTATGCTTGGGTTTATGCTGTTTTCAGTGTGATTCGAAGGGGGAGTAGTCCTCATATAGTGTGATGAGATTTTAGGTAGTCATGGGGTAGGGTTTGTGGTGTAAAAAGTGCAATCTTCAGCAATAGCAAGTGCTGAAACTAGTTTGATCAGTGTGTGGTGTTGTCTAGTGTATAGTGTGCTGAATTCAACAATAACAGAATGGAGAGAATTATGTACTTTGGGATAAATCTGTAGAAGTTTTTCTTAAGGAAAAGAAGAAGGTGAAATACATAAGGGAGGAAAAACCCTCCATTGATTCTCATGAGTATGATGACTGGGAACAAGAGGATGCACAAATTATCAAGTGGTTATGGAACAATATGGAACCCAAGATTAATGTAAATTTCATGTTTCTTGACATTGCCAAAGATGTGTGGGACCATGCTAAGAAGTTGTATTCTGGTCAAGACAATACAACCAAAGTATATCAACTGTGTCAGGAATACTATAATCTGCAACAGGGGAATCAGAGTCTTGAGGAGTACTATGCTAGTATGAGAAACATTCGTAATGAGTTGAATGTTTATCACTTCCTCACTTCTGATGTCAAAATTCAGCAACAACAGAGATAACAACTTGATGTGACTCGATTTCTGGTGGGGCTGAAATCTGAGTATGAACCAGTGCGGGCTCAAATACTAGGAGGGTCAGCTCTCCCTTCCTTAGATGAGGTGTTTGCTCGATTTCGAAGGATTTCCATTGGATTTACTGAGAACTCTAATGTTTCCGATAGATCAACCTTTGTAGTATTGAGGGGCCGTGGGGTTAGAGGTGGAGCTCAGTCTGGTCGTAGTGGTAGCAATGGTTTGGTATATGACCGGAGTGGTGGTAGTGGACCTACATATAATTGTGGTGGTGGTCGTACTGGAGGTAGAGATTCAGGGGGAGCCCATGGCAGAGGACGTGATTCGGGTCCGATGAGGTGTACTCACTGTGGTATGGATGGACATACCATTAATTATTGCTATGACTTGCATGGTCTACCCTCAACTTGGGCCAATCATGCTATGACTAGTGACAACAACTTCAGACAGGAGAGTCGTTCAGTTGATCAGATGCTTCCTACATCCACAGATGTTCCCGGGAAGGAGATGATGAGTGTCCCCCATGATGAGTATGAGAGGTTTGTCCAGTCCACATCTCAGCAGAACACGACTACTCTCGCATACTCAGGTATGGCTTGTTTGACATCCACACCCAATCCCTGGATTATTGACTATGGAGCCTCCGATCACATGACTGGAACTCCAGGTGTGTTTTCTTCCCTCTCTCATTGTTCAACATCACAATCTGTTACCCTTGCTAATGGCTCCACATCCTCTATTTGTGGTGTTAGCAATGTTAACATGACCCCCTTACCTTTATCCCCAGTTTTGTATGTCCCTAAATTTCCGTTTAACCTTATGTCTGTTAGTAAGTTGACCAAGTCACTCAATTGCTCTATTACTTTTTACCCTTCGTGTGTTTTTTAGGATCTCAAGACGGGGATGAAGATTGTTGGAGGGCATGAAGCTGGTGGATTGTATTATCTTGACGGTGGTGGAAGAACATCAACAACTTTCTAGTCATCTCTCTCTCCTCTCCAGTGGCACTGTCGATTTGGTCATCCTTCACTGAAAGTTTTGAAGTCTTTGGTTCTTTCGTTGATTCAACTTTATGTTTTAGATTGTGAGTCGTGTCAATTGGGGAAACATCATCATGTCCCCTTTAGTCCTATAGTTGATAACCGTATGTCGAGTCCTTTTTCTTTGGTTCATTTAGATGTTTGGGGTCCTTATAAAGTGATATCATACAATAGATATAGATATTTTGTCATTTTTGTTGATGATTATTCAATGATGACGTGGCTCTATTTAATGAAAGAAATGAATGAATTGTTTACCATTTTCCAAAAATTTTATGCTGAGATTCGCAACCAATTAGGTGCTCACATTAAAATTTTTTGTTCCGATAATGGCCGTGAATATTTCTCTTCATCATTTCAAGAATGCTTGGACCAACATATCATTATACATCAGACCTCATGTACCTACACCCCACAACAAAATGGGGTGACTGAGAGAAAGAATCGTCATCTTTTGAAAACAGCTCGATCTCTCATGCATCACATGAATATTCCCAAACCCTTTTGGAGTGATGCGGTGCTTACTTCTTGTTTCTTGATTAATCGGATGCCCACGTCTATCCTTGATGGTCATTCCCCATTCACTACCTTGTTTCCCACCGTGCCTCCATTTCCTCTTTCTCCTTGGGTTTTTGGGTGTGTTTGCTTCCTCCATAATCTAGGCCCCGGGAAGGACAAGTTAGATGCACGATCCATTAAGTGCATCTTCCTTTGCTATTCCCGGACCCAGAAAGGGTATAAGTGTTATCATCCTAGATCTCGATATTCCTTTGTGTGTGCTGATGTTACCTTCTTTGAGTCTACTCCATTTTTCTTGGGGTCCGGTGATGTTTCTTCATCCTCATCACCTCCTCCTCTTCCTCTTCCAGTTGCGGATTCTGTTCCTCTTGTTCCAGCTGTGACCAAGTCCTTGCCTCAAGTGCCACCACCCATTGAACGACCACCTATTCGTCAAGTGTATACACATCGTCCACATGTACTGGCTGCTCCTCCTCCAGCTCCATCAACGTCGACAAATCCGGCAGTTGTCCCCACACCAGCCCCAAACCCAATATTTGATCTTGATCTTCCCATTGCCTTGCGGAATGGTAAACACACTTGTACCCTTCATTCTATTTCCAAGTTTGTTTCACCCACTCCAGGGTGGCGCCGTGCAATGGAATAAGAACTCTCAGCTCTAACTCATAATCATACTTGAGACCTCACCACTCTTCCTCCTGGGAAGCGGGCTGTCGGTTGTAAGTGGGTTTATACTATTAAGTACTTACCTGATGGTAGTGTAGAGCGATTGAAAGGTAGGCTGGTTGCAAAAGAGTACTCCCAAACCTTTGGTATTGACTACATAGAGACCTTCTCCCCAGTTGCTAAGATAGATTTGGTTCATGTTGTGATATCTCTTGCTGCTATGTATGATTGACCCCTCTATCAGCTTGATATCAAGAATGCTTTCTTGCATGGTGATTTGCTCGAGGAGGTCTATATGGAACAACCATCGGGGTTTGTTTCTCAGGGGGAGGATGGTAAGGTATGCAGACTAAAGAAGGCTATTTATGGGCTTAAACAGTCTCCTTGAGCATGGTTTGGTAGGTTCAGTGAGGTGGTAAAGAAGTTTGGTATGAAACAGTGCCAAGTTGATCATTCAGTCTTCAGTCATGACTCTTAGGCAGGAAAAATTCTATTAGTGGTGTATGTAGATGATATTGTTATTACCGGAAATGATAAAATGGGCATTGATAGGTTGAAGACTTTTCAGCAGGAACATTTTCAAACAAAGGACCTTGGTAAATTGAAATATTTCTTGGGGATAGAAGTAGCAAGGTCTAAGCATGTGCTTGATTTGCTGGAAGAAACACGTTTGTTAGGTGCTAAACCAGCTGAAACACCTATGGAAACAAACACTAAGTTGAGCAGTGATATGGGTGAAGTGTTTGAAGACCCTGGCAGATACCGGCGACTTGTAGGTAAATTGAACTCCCTAACCATTACTCGGCTAGATATTTCATTTGCGGTTAGTGTGGTATGTCAATTCATGTATAAACTGATTGGGTTGGTTCTATGTTGATTGGGCTAGTTCTATGTTTGATAGGAGATCTTCCACAGGCTATTGCATCTTTCTTGGGGGTAATCTGGTGACATGGAGAAGTAAGAAGCAGACAGTCGTGGCGAGAAGCAGTGCGAAGGCAGAATATAAAGCATGACACATACTACTTGTGAATTAGTGTGGCTAAGGAACCTTCTACAGGAGATAGGATACAATGTTAACACTCCAATGAAGCTCTACTGTGACAATCAGGTTTCAGTTCATATTTCTTCTAATCCGGTGTTTCATGAAAGAACCAAGCACATAGAGGTTGATTGTCACTTTGTGAGAGAGAAGGTGCTAAGTGGAGTGATAGATACTGCATATGTTAACACAGGGAACCAGTGGGTAGACTTATTTACTAAAGGGTTGAGTTGGGGAAGAGTGGACTACATATGTAACAATCTGGGATTATATGATATATACTCACCATCTTGAGGGGGAGTGTTAGTGTTGAGTATGTAGGGGCATTTCTGTCTTTATAATTATGTTGGGGTTGCTGATGTGTAATATTATGTTAGAACTAGTGTCCCTCACTTAAGAAGGGGCACATGTGTCTTTTTGTTTTGAAATGGTAAAAACTGATCTTATCATTCCATTGCCAACCGGCATATTTATATAGTAAGCTGCTGCAATAAATAGAAAACATCTTCCTAAATCAATCCCTATAATTAAAGGACTAACAATTTTAATCCCCATATTTAAGGGATTATACTTTTCCACAATCCTAGGAATACATATTCACACATTCCTATTTTTACACAACTACCAAATATAGATGCTAACTACCAAATATACATCTACACCAGTAACCCCACGTTTTCCAACACTTTTCCATTATGTTAGTGATATAAAACATATCTGGACGAATGGGAGAGGTAATTTTCTTTCATTCGAACCAGACTTTTCTCCTCTCCTTTTCTTCTCCTTTCTCTCTCTCTCTCTCTTTCTTCCTTCTTCTTCTCTCTTCTTGGCTGTTATCAGACTAACAGAACTGAAGGGGCAGGCCGAATCATAATAGAACCTAATCTCTAGTCTTTTCATCCTTTATTTGTTTTAGGCCCCTTAACCGGAATAGGGGTCTGGAATCAGAATCAGAATGGGCTATTCCGATTCCAACTGTTTGGTTGTGTGGAATCGAAATCCCATTCCCATTCCTGCAGGAATGGCGTTTCCCATTTGAGGGAATGGCCATTCCCTGCCCCTCCCTTGGGAATGAAATTCCATTCCTGCTGATTCCTATTTCCATTCCCATTCCTGTCTGAACCAAACAGACTATGGGAATAGACCATTCCGATTCTGATTCCAACTGTGAGCCAAACAGACCCTTAATTTTTTTCAAGGGGCTTTTGTTTTAAAACCCTTACTAGATAAGATTTGTTTAGGTTATTTAAGACCTATTTGAACACCTTATTAAGCTTATTTTCCCTAATATGTAGGTTAAAGAGTTACTGTCTGTGGGTTAATTGATTTTCAAGTTAAACCTGATTGTATCATTTTAGGCTTCTGTTGCATAAGTGGTAAACTATGCTGTATTAAGTACATATATGGTAGAGCCTATCTGTACATGGTACCAAGTACATATGCCATGGATATGGATTAAACATGGGGTAAGTCTTTTTGTGTGTATTCATACTTTTAATTTTTTGGCAACTTTGTAAAAGGCTGAAATAATTTTAAAATTTACTATAATATTAACAATTTGATTTTATTCAAACTTCTCTATGATTTGAAATATGATTAGTGTTTTCAGAACAGTGGTCCTGACAGTATGAAATAATATGAGGTTTCTGATGTGGCAAGTTTTGGAGATCAAAAAACATAAAATGCAAAAACATGCATAACAACACTTGTAATGTTAGATATGCTTCTAAAGTTAATGTTAGTGTCCAATATCAAAAGAACATGCTGATAATAGCTTCATATGCAATGACAAAAGTAGAACGACAGAGGAAATGGTTGAAATTATAAAAATTAGAGCAGCACACTGGGTAAAGACAGTTGATCTATTCAAAGAATTTTCAGTGAATGATATCCTGATGACATAGACTGAAGTGGCATCTTCTTCTAAAAGAAAGGAAAAAGTCTTTATGGAGTGGCTACCCCCAATGGCTAACAAAATAAAATTAAATTTTGATGGGAGTTCCATGGGAAGCACAGGAATGGCAGGTATTAGTGGAGTATTTCGAGATGGTTCAGGGAAAATTTTGGCTATGTTTTCACGACCTTTGGGGCTGGGAGATTCACTACAGGCTGAGCTGATGGCATTATTACAAGGGTTACAAATTGCCAAACAATCAAATTTTCAGCAATAAGAAGTAGAAGGAGATTAAAAATTACCATTTCTTGGGCCAGGAGTAGGCATCTTGTGCCATGGATCTATAGGCATGATTTTAGGGAAATAGAAAGCATCAAGCCGGAGCTGGGCATAACATTTAATTGGGTTAGAAGGACAGCAAATGGGATGGCTGATACTTTGGCAAAACAAGGGGTATATAGACAAAAATTATTTTGGGCAATATTATAATTTTGTAACTTTGTTGGGACTGGGCTGTTTTTTGGATGCATTTGCCCTTTCATTGTATTAACCAATTTCATATTTTAATACAACTCCAATTTTCTTGCTGATAAAAAAAATAGCTTCATATGCACACGGGTTTTATAACTAACAACAATATACATAGTATATATTAGGTGTGATGTTCAGGAAGATGAACATGACAGTGTCTTTTAAGCAGGCAAACATACAGCACTGAGCGGCCTTCTTACATAGTGCATTGTTTTTTAATCAATATTCAGAAGCTTGCTTTTGTTCTGTTCTGAATCCTTTGTTTTAACCTCACCTTATTTGAATCCATGCGTATATCCTTAATCTTATTACATTTGCTATGTGAAGTTTCTGTTGATACATTGTGCATGTATTACTTTTGGGCACAAACGATATAAAACATTGCATAATTTGAAAGGATTAGCAGATCTTGAGTATGACATATCTGTACAATATTGGTATGTCCTTGCTTAGAATCTTGATAAAAGTGACTAGTGGAAACTGCCATTGGATGGGTTCTTAGCTTGCGGATTTTTCAGCAAAAACAACTCTTATCAGATGAACGTAGCTGTCCAATATATATATATATATATATATATATATAGCAGCACAGAAATGATTTCTTTAACTATAGAGAAAATAATTACAAGAGGTTGTGGACAAAGAGAAAAAAACAGCTTCAGAGAAGCTGACCTATCCCAAGAAATACAATTGAGCCCAATACAAGGAAGTTCTTGTACCCCTTGCTTAGCTAGACCATCTGCCAGACTGTTGGCAGTTCTCCTAACCAATTTAATTTGGTTGTCATGTCTTTTGGTACCCATTTAAATCACCTGAGTTCATTTCTCAACCCCATATACTGCAGCCAATAGCTTTGATCTAACCACATCACCTTGTTCAGCTGGTCCTGAGTACAAGGCTATGATGTTTCCTTCCCCATCCTAATGACCCTTCCTATACCTGAGGGGCCTGGATTGCCCACACAACTTCCATTAAAGATCATTTTCTTCCAGCCACAATTTGGGGGTGACCACTCCTCAACTATTTTCTGTTTTCTGGATGAGGAGGCAGCAATTACACCCCAAGACCTGAGGAAGTTCTCAACTTTAAAATCTGAGAAAAGTTTCAGACTTTTAGCCCAGTGTACCACTCTTAGAGTTATGACTTCTACCCGAGCTTCCTTACTTCTTTCTTTATCTTAAAAAAATCTGGAGTTCCTTTCCTCCCAAACTATTCAAAGCACCGCTGCTCGGGTACATCTCCCCAAAATCCTGCCCCTCCTATTAGTAAGGTCCAAAATATGCATATATAGGATTTCTCACCATTTCTTATTGACCATCTAATAGTTAACAAATCGAACAGCTATGATGCTCAATCAACATGACTTTTGCTGGAACTCTGCTAAATGTGCACCATTTTCTAGCTTCACTTGAATGTTTGACAATTTGACATTTGTGACCATATTGGGATGTGAACCTGACGAGTGTGAGAACTTGAGTGCGAGTCTGAGAGCAGCCACGTTGTGCCAAAAAAGCCAAAGGTTAGGTGTCTTAGGTCTGTATCCAGTCCAGTCTACTCCTCCCAAGACCCCAGGTAGCTGGGACCTACACTGGGTAATGATCTTATTGAGATATGGACCTGCAGCTCATTCCTTCAAAATTTAGTGGTATGGTACCAATAACAGAACAACATGAAGAAAAGTATTCATCAACAGTAAATAAATAAATAAATGAATAATGCATGGAGAAAGTAAGAATATTAAGAATTTTTTAAGTAAAATGATTTGGAATAGAAAAAATAGAATAAGCTTGATACTTACCAAAAAAAAAAAAAGAACAAGCTTGACAGTGCACCCTGTCCAGTAGTTCTCAACCCACTCCAGTGACCTATAAACTATTGAAAATTGTACTAGCAAAATGAATTCTGTTGGTACAAATTATAGTTCTCATGTCAAAATTCTGGTTGAGTATTTAATAGCAACCAGGGATTGTTGGTTCCAAGTTGACATTTATATGCTGAGAACCATGGTTTGTGGTTTAATCAGGTTGTTGATTCTGTAGCAAAGGAGTGTATTATATTGGCTGATCAATCAAAGGTTGTTCTCCAGCTTGGTAGCACATTTCCAGTTCCGGTGAGTTAGCATATTCTAGGGTTGTTGTGTTGAAAGGAATTTTGATGATTACATAGACACATCCTGTATGCATATTTTATTTATTTCTGCATCCTTGCTTGCAAACGCCCACACAAATAATGTGTGTGTGTGTGTGTGGATTGAAGTACTGAGAAAAAAATCTGAAGGTTTATAATTTATAGAGGATTTATCTCTTGATAGAATGGAATCAATGCTCTTGAAGGGGTCTTCCTTGACTCTGCCTTACCTGACTCTAGAATTTGGTCTATTAGTCTATTAGGTTTTTCTAGTTAAAGAAGTTTGGAGTGGGTCTATACCCCTCTTAATTAAGACTTTTGTTTGGGAGGTGTATCATCATAAGATCAATGCTAGTGACCAACTCCAAAGTCCAAAGGAGAAGGCCAAATTGATGTTTATCTCCCCCTGTGTATCCTGTACAATGTAAGTGGGGAATCTATTTACTAATTGATTTCCTAAAAATTTGCAAATGGTAATTGGGATTGGAAAGGGCACTCAATTGCTTAGATTTGTTGGAGAAGGGGATACTAAGGTGGTTATAAGCTGGTTGAAAAATGAATACACTGTCCTGGCAGATTAGGAATATCATGAGGGAGATCAAACATTATATTTATTGGAATGAATATATGGGTCCAGAGATCAACTAATAGCATAGCTGACACATTGGCAAAGCAGGGGGTGAATAGGCAATGATGGTTTTGTGCTCTGTTCAGCCCTGTCTCCTTTTTTTTTTTTTGATAGACAAAATTCAATTGATTTCATTAGAAGCAAATGATAAATAGTTTGTTACAAGCATCCCAATATGAGGCGCAAGGTGCAGCCTTACTCATTGATACAGAAACATCATAAAGTTACAATTGGGCCCAGTACAACTGTTCCCTAGTTACCCCTTGTTTAGCTAGAGAATCAGCAAAAGCATTTGCCTCCCTCCCCACCCACTGTATAGTTACCTCCATCTGCTGAGTTAACCATTTGAATTTCTTCAATTCATTTCTGTAAGCCCAGATCACTGAATCTAGGTTTTTTAGACAACCCACCACCACCTTGGAGTCCCCTTCTATCACCAAATTTTCCAATCCTAACTCTCTTGCAATCTGTACACCTTGTAGGGCTGCGTCCTCTTTCCATCAAGGGTCAATTTAGCTTTGGGACCTATGGTTGGAAGGCTTGGAAGTCGAGGGATAAGCTCAAGTTCATGGGAAGATTTAGAGATATAGAGAGAAAAAGAGTTGGATAACCAATGATAGTTTTGATATCTTGATTTACATGGATTCTCTTAAACAGTTGCAACAATCCAAATTAGGCTTCAACTAATCCCCTACTAATTTGAAGAAAACATGGCCCCACTAACATCAACTTGACATGTTAACACAAATGATTGACACAACTACTAACAGCCCGAGCCTTACTCCTAAAGACTTCCTCTCCACCTTTGAAGATGACCCATTTCCTCAGCTCCAACTTGACACCATCGACCTTGTTAGTTAATGGGCTAAATGGGCTGTTTGCATGGTTTTCAAAACCGGATCAGACTGGACGGTCAGACCGGAAAAACTGGGAACTGGTCATGCGACTGGTTTTGTTTTTCCCCAAAACCGGATTTTTGCCAAAAAACGTTGATTTGGTCAGCAAACCACTGACCAGGGTGGTTGAACCGTTCGAACTGCTCAATGGTTTTGATCGTTTTTTATTTTTTTGTCAGAATGGGCTGACCATTCGATTCGAACGGTCAGACCGTTTGACCCGGGAACCGGACCCCTGGCCGGTTCGTTGTCCGGGTCAGTTTTAAAAACATTGGCTGTTTGCACGGGAGTGTGCATGCTGGACCTGGTCTTATGCATGTGACATTTTGGAGCAGGTTGTAATGTAAAACGGAAGTTCTTTTTGGGCTAGGTGGCCTATGCCAGCCTAGAAAACAAAAAAGGGGGCGGGGGTGTGCTAATCCCTATTGTACATAATATTTTCTATGAATACTTTCAATAAAAGATTCTACCATCAATACAAACAAAATAAATGGCAAAGAAGGATTTATATAGCTGGCTCCAAATGGTCAGAATAAGGTTCTATTGAGTTGAGTTGTTCAATGTTTGATGCTAAAAATGGTCCATCATATGGGATCAGGTAGAGGTGTAAACTGTAATGTGGGGGGCTGTGCCGGCATGGCACAGCTTTGTGACTTGCCTCATGTTAGCCTGAACCACACCAGATCGACTTTTCTTGGTGCCATCGAACATCTTTCGCTACTCTCTTATTCCTGAATTGGTTGTTTTTCCATTGGAGCTGAAAGTTAATATCAGGGTTAGAACTTAGAGCTTATTGCTTCAGGAAACCCTTTCTGCTTTGATATTTGTAGTTAAGTTGCAAATGAGACATTGTTTCTCTTATCAAACCTGTGGAACTGGTGATATAACTATGAACATATTCATACTTAAAAGTTGTTTATGCATGACTGAAAAACAAATTGTTGATGCAAGTGCATGTTTTTCTATAGGCTTCATTATTATGTGCAACGCAGGCAGGTGGTTCACATACACCCTCAGATACATAAGCATGACCAAGAAAACAGCTGCACGCACATCTAGGAATTTTAGAACCTATGTCTATGAGCTCTAAGCCCTGTCCTGCAGTGGAGTCCTCCCTTCCAACCTAGACAGAAAAAAAAAAAACAAAAAATTAAAAACGAAAGCCTGACCAAGAAAAGGGGGAAATAACTTGAGAAGATACGTCTCTTTCATGTGAGAGATGGCTCTTGGGCCAAGGCTTTCCATGAGTTGTTAACTGGAAAATCATTGCAGCTAAAGCATGTAAGACAGTTTGTCCTGTTTAAACTTCTTGTAAGTACAGGCCATTTAAACTGCCTGTTCAATACTATCTAATGAGTCTATAGGACAGCCCAGTGCACGAGGCTCCCACCAATACAGGGTCTGGGGAGGGATAAATGTACGCAGCCTTACCCCTGCACATAGAAAGAGGCTGTTTCCGAGATTTGAATCCTGGTCACCCAGGACGCAATGGAGCAATCCAACTGTTGCGCGCCCACCCTCAATACTATCCAGTGAGTCTGCATTAAATAATTCTGATACATTATCAGGACCTGTTAGTTTACCTGTTCACAGTATTGAAGGACAGGGATAGGATTTAAGCAAGTTGTCTTCTGTAATTTAATCATTTCAGAACAACTAGAATACATACAAATAATTAATTCATTCATGGTAAGATGCAATTGATGTTTTGTAGGTGGAAGTTCTACCTTCTGCAATTTCACCAGTTTTGAGGCGGCTTGTTACTCTTGGAGGAGGTCAGTTCTGATATTGCTGAATCTGTTTCAAACTATTACTGCATTGAGATTATATGTTCATATATAGAATTTCTATAGGTTTCTTCAATTTATAGTTTGAAGGGTTTTTTTCAATTAACTGCAGTTACTGAATGGCAGTTCCTGAAATTCGATCTGCCTTGAGGAAGGATGGTCCAGTCATCACTGACCTAGGAAATATGGTTGTAGATGTGAGGTGTGCCCTTGTATTTCTTCATTTATTCTTGGTAGATAGAGATAAATAAGGTGGTCAAAGGACTCTATTTATGATTCAGCATCTCTTAACTGAATATAAGTCCAGTTTTGATTAATGTTGTAATGTGTACATTAAAAGAGATTTTTAGTAGCTTTTGTGTTTAATTTGGTTAGTCATCAAGATATCTAAGGAGATGGCTAGCTGGTAATGAGATATGAAGTAGATTGCTTTCTCCTTCCCATGGATTCAAAGATTAGACTTTAATTTGATGGGTGCTCTAAAGGGGACCCAGATCCATCTGGGATTGGAATTGTTCTCTTAGAGGCAGAATAGGTGTCTATGGACTTATAGTGGCTCTATTGGTGATGCAGACTCTCCTAAAGTGGAAGTAGAAGCTCTCTTAGTGGGTGTTCAAATTGTCAAGCAAGCTAGTATCTCATTTTGGCCATTGAAGACAACCTATGTGGTGATATTCTTTGCTGCCAAAGTTAGTCAGCGGTTCATGGATTTTTCAATATTTTTTAAAGGTTAACATGGCTTTTATTTGATGATAAGAATTATGAGTTAGTCACATATGTTACATAGAATGTCATACATTCTTCCATTGAGGCTGGAACATTTCACCCCACCTTGCCTTACATTAATGTACTCCATAACAAAGTGCCCCAGTATAGATGTACCCTATTCACCCTTTGTTTGGCCATGGCATCAGTCAAGACATTTGTTGATCTTTAAGTCCACTGAAGGCTTGCTTCCAGGTCTGTTTCTAGGGCTCTTAATTCATGTCATCAAATTATACTGTTTCCATATATAACTAATTTAATAAAATAATCTTTCTGCTGATAAAAAAAACTGTTGCTAGGGCTCTTAATTCTTCCAAGTAGTTCCAGCATAGCCATGACCCTTGTTTGTTGTGTATCAGACAGCTTACCACCACCTTTGTCCTTTGAGTCCCCCTCAACAACAATTTTCCTTATATTTAAGTTCATTGGCAATCTTAGATCTTGTAATACTGCTGGCAACTCTTACCTAACAGAGTTCCCATTCCCTAAGGCTGTTTTTGGTTTGAAGGAAAAGGTAGGGAAACCCATACAAGATTTGTACAGGTTTCCCTGTCTTTCCCTTCCTTTCCCTACCTTTTCCTTCAAACCAAACACAGCCGAAAGGTCTCAAATATATAGCCAACATGTGTCCATTGTGATCTCTAAGGATGCCTCACAGTTATTACCCAAATTGCACCCATCAAAGTGTAATTTCATCAACCTTTGTTTGGTGGGAAAAATGCAACGAAACAACACCGTTCTGAGAAGAAGCATTTGCTACCACAGTCCATCCTCTAAGTATATCTTCAGTGGAAAAGGCTTCAAAAGCCTTAGCTTTCTTGATTCCATAATTGCTTATTGAGTTATTCCTTTTCTTTTGAAGATTTTATTGTTCATTTCTTGCTAAAATCATCCAGAGAGTTGTGGCCCTAATGAATCTCTACATAATCTTGCCTCTCTTTGTTGATGAAGGGGGGAATGAACCCTTGGATATGAAATCAAGGCCAACTGGCTCACTCCACCAGTCCACCTGCACTCAAAAAGGTATAAAGCCAATCTCCAAATAGAAGCTGCAAATTGACAGGAGATTAATAGATAGTAACTAGATTTTCCACTTGAACACAAGAAGTAGGCAGGTCTCCTCTCAAGTCAAGTCTCAATTCCTTTCAATTCTCAACGTCGAACTTCTCTCTCTAAATCTTCCCTACCAAGCTTGGTGAAAATTAGATCTGATTGACTCATCCCCCATATCTAAGGTTCCTTTGGACCCCCATTAAAACAGTCTTAGTTCTCAAATGTTTCTAATTTTGAGAACTCTCATTTTGTGCCAAACCTTCTCAAATCCCATCCAAATTCGACCCCCTAGTTTGGTTCACTTACCCAAACTTCATCTAAAACAGTTTGAAGAAATTTTATTCCAATCTTGAGGTATTGAATTTGTGGTTCTCTCTAAAAATCTCTGCATATTGCAGGAATTTCAGCACTAAACTAGCTTTCTCAAATCCCATCCAAATTCGCCCCCCTAGTTTGGTTCACTTACCCAAACTTCATCTAAAACAGTTTGAAGAAATTTTATTCCAATCTTGAGGTATTGAATTTGTGGTTCTCTCTAAAAAATTCTGCATATTGCAGGAATTTCAGCACTAAACTAGCTTTCTAATCACTTCATACAGCCATATAACCCTGGAAAACCCTCATCTCTCTTCTCAAGACCTGCCTCTATCCCCTCAACCCCAAATTGTGTATATGACCCCTTATTCTCATTGTTTACTTTTATGTTTCTCTCAAATTTGTGCATCATGTGCAAACCAGAGGAGTTGGTGAATTACCTCTATTTACCTAGGCACCTCATTCCTTAGGGACTGAGTCATCATGGCTAATCCACCTTGCAGGAACCTGCAGAATTGTTGACGGTGATGCAAGGGCTTAAATTATTAACCCTACAGAATTGGAGGGGAGTAATTATAGATGGTGATTGCGAAGTAGTAATCCCGTGGCTCACTTCAGAAGTATAACCAGGTGGAATTTCAGAGTGTTGGTAAGGGAAGCCAAATATTTGGGAAGGAACCTGAACTGCTTGCTCAAGTGGGTTCCAAGATTGTCCAACTCCCTTGCTGATAGACTAGCCAAATCGCGTATCAACTGTCAAGGATGTATCTAGGGTTGCCTGGGCCAGGGTCCAATTCTAACTGGTTATATTTTCTATATCTGCTTTGCTTTGTTGTGTTCAGCTCGTAGGTGTTCATTGTACCTTCCCTTCTGTCCACTCTGGATAACTTCGGGCTCTCTTTTTAATTCAATACAATTCTGTTCTTTATCAAAAAAAAATCATGGTTAGTCCACTCTCATTCCATTCGTGAGGCTATTAACTTTTGGTTTCTAAGTTCAATAGGCAGTTGGAGCTCTACCTGATTCTATTTGTTGAGTTGTTTGGGAAGAAAGAAATTGAAGAATTTTCAACTGCTTGGAGAAGGTTGAAAATTGGTCAAGGTTGTCAGAATTTCAAGCATTGAGTCTTCGTCTATAATTGGTCAAGGTTGCAACTTGGGTGCCCGAATTGAACATTTTACACTTCATCAAGCCTGTATCCTCAGGTCAGAAAAGTTAACAAAACTCCATTCAAAGCCAAGTTGTATCACCATAATTGGTACACTCTTTTGGAGGTGCAGAAGGTGGTAAAGTTTCCTTTTTTTTTGATAAATAACTGAAAAGATTTCATTGAAAAAACCACCTAGCTTCCCAAACAGAGAACAGCAGGACAACAAAGAAACTTTTGTCTTCAGGCCTTTTATACATCTATCTCTTATGCATTAATAAAATGTTTTGTTCACTCATAAAAGAAACTTTTCTTGCAGATCACATCTTCACCTATCAGACAGCTATTTGTTTTCCTCCTAGATCTCTCTTTCCACAGCCTGTTGACACATGATACACTAAATGCCAAAAGGTCCCCATACCTCCTACATCAGCCCTACAGCTAGGACGCATAATTGACAAAAATCAGTACCAAGTGGATGATGCAAAGAACATATTGCATTCTCTGGGACAATCAAGCAACAAAGAAAATAAAAGAAATCTGAAAATTGTTAGATAATGCTAACATCTAATCATTTTTTTCTCCTGTAAGCTATGATGCTCAGATGCAGATATGGACATTGACACATATACAGGAAATGGGGATATGGCTCCCTATTTCCTAAAATCCTGGATATGGATAATGATACAGGTATCCTGTGTAATATGCTTATATCATGCGCATATATTTAGCTTTTGAAGTTAAAGTCATTTTTCAAGACTTAAGTCTTGCCAAATTTTCTACTGAAAAAAGTCTTTGCAAATTTAGTTAATTTCTAAAATGTGGAAATCTTTTCATAGTATTATTTGTTAAAGCATACCATTTTAGATGTCATAGAAGTGTTAATGTCATAAAGTACATCTAGAAATATCCATGTGGTACCCGGTATTGTATCCAACAAATATCATATCTGACACTGGTGCGCTAGGCATGTACAGGTATCCAGGAACCAGGATTGTAGCCTAAAAGATGTAAGCATCCAGACACTTCACTCAAAATTTTAGGGCATTTCACTCAAAATTTTAGGTTCAACCTATATGTGAGTTTGTGAGTTCACTTCAAATTAAAATTGGCAATACCTTGTTAAGAGAAGACAAAAGGTTCCAGAGGTGGGCCGTTTAGGGTCATCCAGCCTATTTAGAATTGTTAGATTTGCTGAAGTTCCTTATAGCGTGATAATTTGATGAGATATAGATTTTGGATTTAAACTGCAAAAGGAAAAAGAGCATAATCCAAGATATCAGCATAATTGTAAGTCATAATGATTAGCATTTGTCCCCAGAGCTGCAAGGTTGAAGATTCTAGTTGTATGCGACCCATTGACCTCCATCTTCCTTGTCTAATTAAGATCATATTTTATTGTCTAAAAGTAGTAAAAGCTATAGTTCTTTAATACATGTTTTTACCATTTATATGTGCATGGACTTTTCTGCTCAATATTTATATTCCTGTGAAATTTAATGAATGCATTTTTAATTCTAATTTCTGAGAAGGCTTAGTCATTACATAGAAGCAGTCGACCTTGACAAGTAAAAGTGTGTGTAGGTGATGCCTATAGTTCCTTGACTGCAGCAGGTTCAGAATCTGGAACCCATTCTATTCTTTTCTTTTTTCTCTTCTGCTTTTTTTGTGTCTGTGGAATGGAGGGGGTGAGGGAGGGTTCATTCTATGATGCTGTTTGGAGTCTATGGACTTTGATCCCCACAGTTACTGCTGGAAGAATTTTTTTGATCAATTCTGCTGGCAGAAATTTCCGATCTTTGATTTTGATTGTTGTAATGCATGTTAAGGTTCTTCAATTTCCATCTAATAAAACAAAAAGAAATAAACACAGGTTGTAATGTCTGGTTGTTTATTAAATTTTTCTTTTCATGAACTTGGGTGGTCTTGTTTTCTATTATGAAATTGAACGATTTCCATTTCTTTCTTATGTATTCAATAATCATTATTTGACTCCTTGTCTGGTCAACTAGCTTTCCAAATGGGATTCAGAACCCATCTGAACTCGAGAAGAACATCAATATGATACCTGGAGTGGTTGAAAATGGTAAGATACAAGTCTACCCTGCTTAGAAATATAAAATATTCATCTCATTCTTACTTCATGCGTCTTTCTCATCATTCCTACATGATTCGACTCTTTCATGCTGTTGACTTAGTTCAAGTACTATGTCACAAGAAGTGTATAAACCATCTTTACCTACAATAAGGGCATATGTGCAGTCTAATGACACCCGAAACAATTGGGGCACATGAACCACACGTCTGAATGAAGTCAACTGATCCATTTTACAAAGCCTCGACTCAATATCTTGGCAGACTATGTAAACCTAACCATTGGATAGTCACATCCCAGAGATGGCCAGATAACATATATATATGTGTGTGTGTGTGTTATCTGGCAGGCCATCAAAAGGATTCTGTATGGTGGTTATGGTCATCTGATCATATGGATGTGGATGCCATTATCTGCTTCATCCAGGAAGCCCCATTGGTGGCTGTTATGGCAGCATGGGTCAGAGATACATTAAGACTGTTTAGACATGCACTTTTTCCACCTGAAAACGCTTATGCTTCAAATTTTATGATCTGAAATCAAGTCTTCTTATCTGATCATGTTTCTCTAGGCATTGTTTCTGGTGTTGCAACAACTGTGTTAGTTGCCATCCAAGATGGAGAAAATGTCATAGTGATGAATTTGGAGGAGTTTGCAGAAATTATCAGTGGCCGGACAGGTGCAAGTTCTACCTCATAAGATTTTAATTCAGGTCTGGTTTGTATGGATATATGCGAATGATGCAACTAAGGGAAGGAAAAGTCCTCAATGACAAGTGTCAGATAAGAATATCTTTATCCTTGTATAATGGGGTGCCTGGAATTCAGTTTCAGTCCCTGGCGTGAAATAATCATCATACAATAGATTGTACTGAGATCTTTTTTTGTAAGTAACAACAATATTGTACTAATAAGAACGAAACGAAGTAGTATGAGAAGTAACCACAAGATACATAATAGGGAAAATCTATGATACGGAAAAGACATGATATAGAAAGAGTTTTGACCAATCAAAACCCACCCATAAGTTTTGATAAATAACATGTGATTGGCTGCAACGTTTATGATTCCAGTTGATTGGTCAGACGTTTTTTTGGATATCATATCTTTTCTATATCATAGTCGAACCCTACATAATAAGAGAGGTTACAAGTCATACCGATACCGTGCCAGGTATTGGTTATTCCAAAGGCCAATACGTATCGGACTGTATCAGTATCGTCAATACTTTAAACCTTGGTTACAACACTGTATGCTCTAAAATTGCTAAGTAACCCTTGTACCATAAAAAATAAGGAAAAAAAAAATTGTTTTTACTTTTTACCAAATTTTGCTAGCCTTAACCAAGGTTCAAAGCATTGATACTCTGAATATGCAAAATTTGTGTATCTTGAGTTTTCAACCATTGATACTCATTTTCTTTTTCTTTCTTTTTTTTACTTTGATAATTATTATTGTTTAATGTTATTAATAGGACCAAAATCTCAGTGGCATATACATATTATTTTGAACCTTGGTTTTGACTCCAACTCATTTGCCTCAAGGTAGGGTTATAATGTGCTGGGCTTAATACCTAGGATAAGAAGCATAGGTGGTTGGTAACACTGAAATGGAGTCTGATATGAAGTTGTTTTCCAGAGGATGGATGTCATTTGTGTTAATGTCAAAAGTGATAAATAGGTCTGATTTGATAAGATGTGGGTTATGGGAAATGCATTCTAATGTGTTTCAAATGGCTCATAATGATTGAAATGTTTGTATTGAATCACACGACTTGCTATCCCATAGGGGCGGTAATTCATTTTTTCTTGGGCATATTACAACACATTTTTTTAGCAACACTCTAACAAATCTTTGCCAAAGGTGATGGGAGTTATAGCAGGCTTCGGTTTCTCTTATGGGACTACCCAATTTACGTACCAACTGAGCCACCACTTGGGTTAAAATCAATATGTTTGAACCATGCTGGTCATACCTTTTTAAGAAAAGGGAGGTATGACATGGAAGGAAGAGACAGCCTTGAAGTAACGATGTGATTATGTGGAGAAATGAACGTCAGTTCTGTCTGTTTGCATTGCAATTTCATTTGCACCAGTGCAAATGCACAGGAGTAAAAATCAGAAAAGTGTAAATTCTGATTCACTTGTACTTCAGCTTTTACTTTGTTTTGAGTTTTATTTTATTTCATTTACAATGCAAACAGATAAAATAAGGTAAAGTTTAACACAAAAATAAATTAGAATTTTCATTCTAACTCATTTGCACTTCCGTACTTTTGCACTAGTGCACTGCATTGAAAATAAAACTATGCGGAAGGTTCTGAAGAACTCTACTAGCATACTAAATAAATAAATAAATAAATAAATAAAACCTCCACTGTCTCTATCTTTCAAGGAAATGGAAAAGAAGAATGCCAAAGGTTAGATGAATATTCATTCCATCCCTCTTAAGACAACACGACCTAGTTTGTTGGGACCGATTGCTGAGGATACAATTCTTGTTGTGTCTATTTGGAATCGTTGCTGTTGCTCAGAAAACGGCGCCACATCAGTGCCATGTAGAAAAAAAATGGTGCTTCAGGAAACAACCTTTTGTATGGAACCATTTTTCTATAGAAAACGATGCTCCAAGTCACGCATTGGAAGTCGGGAAGGCATGGTTTGGAGCAATGCCAAATTTGGCATTTCCTAGAGCTGCAATTCGTTGCTGCCAACAGGGCAGTGGATAATGGGTAGAAGTGTAGAAAACGTTTTCTGGAGCATTGGTACCAAACACAAAAAGTTGTTCCAGGAAACATCCTACCTGACAGCAATTATTCCAAACAAAAAAAAGCATCGTTTTCCGAGGAAACGGTGCTCCAAGCCACACATCTGCTGCAACTGCAACATCGATGCCAAACATATGCATAAAGAAAACCATGGCTGCCCTTATTCCATGACTTTGGCTGTCAACTGGGTTTCCTCTACATCACACGTTCACTTAGCAATGCATCCATCACTGATACTGGTACAAGGAGTAATTGTGAAATAGTTTACTATCAAGCTGTTGAATTTGAGCTTGAATCTCTTGCAAGCAAAAACTTTGCTCACAAAGATTTCATTCACACATTGAGAATATCTTTCATACATTTATATTTTTTTGGTATTGAATCACTCGCCTTTGTGCCCCCATAGGGGCCGCATTTTATTTTATTTTTCTTGGCGTAGTACAACACTTTTCTCAACATCATTCCAATAACTCTTCTCAAAGGTGGTGGGAGCCGACACTGGGGCTTGAAACCGTATCACTTTTGAGACTATTCAGTTTACATAACAACCAAGCCACCACTCAATTGGTCATTTATGTTAAAATAGCAGGGACCCGTGCGATCCGTGCGATGCACGAGATTTATTAAGCGAAGGCTAAACAATAGAAACACATAAGATTATACAATTTTTTTGTACTTTTAATTTTTTAAATAATTAATAACTATTTATATTTTGGGTTTGAGTACGATATGGGAAATATATGATATTTGAAAATTTTTTGACTAATCAATTGGTATCATGAATGTGGTAGCCAATAAGGTCTTATTTATCAAAATTCATGGGTGGATTTTGATTAATCAATACTCTTCTGATACCATATCTTTCCCGCATCATAAATTTAGATTTTAAAATTTATTTTTAATAATGCCATTATAATTTTTTATATTTAAATTTAATTTTTTAAGTTTAAATCTTTTGAACCGATCGACCAAACAGAAAAAAATGACCCAAATTGATACAACCCAAGTTTAGGATAGGATATTATTTAGGTTATTGTAACGTGTGTGTGTGTGTGTGGGGAGAGAGAGAGAGAGAGAGAGAGAGAGAGAGAGAGAAGTTGTTTTTTGTGTTTTCAATAAATATTTTAAAGTTATTATATAATTTCATGAGAATATTAAATAATTTAAAAATTTTTTAATTCAAACTTTCTTTAGATAGATATAGATAAAAGTGGGGGAGATGATAAATAGGATTAGAGATAATTTAGGAGAGAAATCTGTATTAAATTAGAGATCATTTAGGAGAAAGTGAGGGATAGTGGAGGAGGTAATTTAGAAGAAATTTTAGGAGAGGATATTATTTAGATTATTAGGAACATGTGTGTGTGTGTGTGAGAGAGAGAGAGAGAGAGAGATTTTAGGAAATTTTTATGCGAAAGGAGAGCATCTCATTGGTTGTTTAAAAAATAACATGGAATAAAAAAATAGAAAATTCAAAAAAAAGAGAAAATTTCTTTGCTGTTGTATTTTAGTGTGTATATATATATAGATTATGGGGAGATGTTCCTAATGTGCATTGGGATTCTCATGCATATGATCCTATTGTCATCCTTCAACATTGCTACTGTGTGCACTACGCACCTCATTCATGTAGCTCGGTTGTTCACTGTTTTGCTAAAAAAGGGACAGTCCTTCGTCAATAACTGCCATATTCATTGAGCATATTATTCATTATGAGGCTACTATTGAGTTTTAAAATGTTGGAAATGGAATAACACAAACACTTGAAAAAAAATACTAACTTTGATGTTCATAAAGTTGGATTAAAAGTTTAAAATTAAAATCCATGATATTTTAATATAATGCTGTAGTAGCATATAGTTTTTATATATTAGCCTCAGAAGAGAGTTAAGATGTGGTGCATTTAACATAGGGCAAGGAGAGGAAGAGTTGGAAGAGAAGTTATATTAAAAGAGGTAAGATGGAAGAGAGAAATAGGGATATTTAATAGGAATTAATTGATGGAATAAATAGAGGAGTTATGTAGGAATTTTGAAAATTTAAAATTAGAAAAATAGAAAATTTACTATACATGTCTCCCCATAAAAACTCATGTATGTCTTAATTATATCTATGTTACTCATCTCCAATAAAATGTTCTCAAATCTCTCTCTCTCTCTCTCTCTCTCTCTCTCTCTCTCTTCAATAGTCAATGTTTGTAATATTTCCCCTCTCCCTGTTAAATCCCTCATTTCCTCTTAAATATCCTTGAACCCCTTTAACCCTTTCTATAAAACATGGGTATAAATTAGATGGATTGGATGGAGTTAAGTGTCAACCCAATACTAACCCTAAACATGGACCTTTCCCTGGAACCAAATCAGATTTGCCAACTCAAACCTAGCCAAATTTCTATTCAACCCTATGCATTTTACATGGGTTTGCTTGCTAGTATTGATTGATACATTACAATATCTTTCTTTTTTTTGGTATTTAGCACAACACACTAACTTTTCAACGTAGGTGGAAATAGTGAGACTCGAATCCACGTCTCTAGTGAGACTACTGAGCTAACATGCGAACCAAGCCACCACTTAGTTGGCGATGCATCACAGTATCTATGAGTGGATGTATTAGCTGATATAGTGCATAGCGGTTGTTGAATGACATTAGGCCATTCCACCCATGTCACATGTTAACGATCTGAAAATCCAGTATGTCATGTGTATTGGGTGTATTGATATTTTTGACATTGTAATCTTCTACATATAAGGGTTACTTGCTTATTGTATGATAAGAAGTGTCTAATTTATGATGTGGCCATCATACATATTAATAAGTTGATTATTGGTTTTAGTTTCAAAGCTTGCAAGGGTTTTTTTTTGGGTCTAAATTGATAATTAATAATGCTTTAGAAAACCATATCATTTATTGGGCAACTCAACTAGGTAGTTAGCTTGTCATTCAAATCACAACCATGTAAATCATTAAATTATAGGCACTTAAGAAATAACATGTGTAGAAATGAGTGTGGCCTTTGGATGGATACGATGAGTGATAAAACTAGAAAGGATAAGGTTAATAATGAAGGAAATAGGTTCCAATGGGTGATAAAACGAGAGAAAATAAATTGAGAATCTAGTCATACTCATGGAATTAGAAGGCCATCCTTAGCATTGGTCCATCTAACCCCAAAACCAATACATCTTAAATTCATACCTTTTGAAACACACCACACCACAAACATGCAGAAAACCATTGAAAATGTGATCACCTAGAACCCAATCTTGTTTAAATTTTGCATAGGAAGAAAGACTTCATGCTAAAGATTACAAATAAAATTCCATAACATAAAAAAGAAGAGACTATGCAAACAGAGGATAAGCCTTTAATATCCCTTTCGGTGTCTTGAAAACATTGTCATTGGATATCTCATTGCTTTGCAACTCGGCCCCTCTTGTTGCCAAGTGCCTGTCTAGGAGGGCTGAAGTGCAACAACTTTTGGCTTTTCAAGGTAGGACTCACACAAACAACCTATAAACTATGTTTGATGAAAAATCTGGAGAGCAAAAGTTGGCCGTTAATAAGTCATTTAGATGTCCACTTCAGCCTCTTTGAACAGATTATTCAAACACTTTCTTCTAAACGGAAGAACAATGACATTAGTATAACTAGTTAGATTAATGATAGCATTGCTGAATGATTATTCCAGCAATAAGACATGAAAATAAAGCCAATACACTCTTAGCTTTGTACCATGTTGTAACACTTGGGTTGGATATAGACCAAAATGCTCATTTGGCCAGGTGGTTAGCCCATTTGAACCATGAAATTAAACCATTATTTAATTGAGATCAAAATGGTCATTGAGTCACCAAGTCATTCGGCCTAGTCCTAGTACTCTTGCAATACTAAGGTTATGTTTGGTTTGAAGGAAAAAGTAGGGAAAGGAAGGGAAAGGGAAGGAAACCTATACAAGGTTTGTAAAGGTTTCCCTATTTTTTCCTTCAAACCAAACACAGCCTAAGGGAGTATTTGGTGTTGTGGTTTATATAAAGTGTGGTTTGTTTGAATCTAATAGGAATACTATAGTGTGGTTGAAATCACATTGCACTCTATAAGGTGTTTTGCAATGTGGTGTGGATGTATTATTAGCAAAATTTTAAATAAAACATTTTACATATAGATGGTGTTGAATAGTGTGGTTGTTATTTTAATAAACAATGCCATGTTGATACCATGTAATTCAAGTAAAAGTGGTTATACTCTCCTTACCTTAGTTTCTATCAAAGTAGCTTTTGGTGAACACAACTTTTTTATATTTCTAGTATTTCACCTCTTCTATCCTATGTGGCCCCTAAATAAATAAATGTGCATTTAGCATTACACATAGGTGCATTTAGCAGAATAAATAAATGTGCACCAAGGTCTATATATGCACAAGCACAACTAGTTCAACTCACCACAAATACATGAGACTTGAGTTCAAGCTCAATCTCAATTCAAGCTAAAGACTTGAGTTTGAATTTGACTTGAATGAAAAATCATATGCTCAAGTTTGAGCTTGACTGTGAGCCAAGCTTCCTATAACAAAATAAAAAATTATACATATAAAAAGGTTATATATATAATTTTTTATTAGACATATAAAAATAAAAATAATATATAATATAAACTTTACTGGGCTCGAACTCAACTTGACTAGCAAACAAGTCTATAGATTGGGTTTGAGCTTGGCTCAAAGCTTGGTTTAGATCGAGCCAAATCAAGCTCAAGACAAGCTCGAATAGTTTGTGAAAAAATTGATTTGTATCCAAAGTACAAGATACTAATCTACAATTTACCCTAAAAGAAATGCCTAATGGGTGTCACATGTTTCAAAAAACCAAGCATTCATGAAATACCGAAAATTCCTAACCAGCACTCGGAATTTTAGGAATTGTCTCAAGTTAGTCCCCGAACTTCAAAACATGTATCTTTAGTACCTAAACTTTCAAAATGTGTCTAATAGGTCCCTACCATTAATAGTTTGTCGGTATCTGTATCACGTGATGACATGTGCCACTGAAAACTTTTGAAAATGTCAAAACTACCATTTAAAAGAAAATATTGTTCATTGTCTTTTACCTTGAGACTGATTCAGTTGCTACTACAATTTCCTACCTAGAAGAGAATTTCAGTTGCTTTGGTTTGCTTTACCTAAGAGAATGATGATCTTGCACCCACGTTCTGTCGAGTTTCAAAGGTTTCTAATCTTGCTATAGTTCCTCTAAAAGCTGAAACTGGTGTCATCGTTGGGGAAAACGGAGTATTGTATAGATTCCCAAATGCACCATTTGTTGAAAAGGCTGGGTGGGATTGACAGCATGATCCTTAAACAATACAAGAATGCAGTAGTAGACATGTTCATGGGCCGGGTTTGGGCTTGGTTTTTGTCAAAATTCTAATGTGCCCGACTTAAAGCCCGAGTCCGAAACAGTGTAAAATTGGGCCCGAAGCCCGGCCGATGAAGAGGTCTATGCAATACCTAGAGTAAAGAACCAAGCTAAATCCATATATGAGTATAGAGACGAGGAGTTGGGTGGGATCTCCAGCAGATGGGACGACGACTTGGTGCAGAAAATGATCGAGCAAGGCTGCTTCATGCTATAGCTGGCCTTGTTCTCCTTGGGTGGTTTGAAGAAGTACCGAGTCTTTTATCAGATTCGAGAGCAGTGGACCAGCCACTGGGTTGCCTGCATTTTTGGGTTTAAGAATCAAATCCACTAGTCTTGAGGAGTTGATTTCTGAGGGTGTAGTGAGATCAAGAAATTGGAAGCACAAAGACTTACCCAGAACGCTCTATTTTGATTTCTTGCTGTAACCGATTCTAATTGGCCCAAGAAACAAGATGAATTTGATCAGAAAACTCCACAGCTTTACCATTGCCAACACCTACGACCATGCACACCGAGAACCCCCAACCCTTCTTCATGCTCTATGAGTGTTTGAAGTTGAGATATCTTCTCATTTTGACAGTTCTACTTACATCGGTGAGCCACCATTAGTGCCATTTTGGACCAAACACAATTCCTTAACCTTGGACTGGAAGAAAGCTGCTTCTTCCAAGCAAGAAGCAGCTGCCTGAGTTTGATTCATTTCAGTTGCCGCCACCACATATGGGGTGAAATCAGTACAGTCACCGAGGCCTTTTTTGGCAGGCTCAAGGCCGAAATGTGTTAGATCAAGGGAGCGAAGACACTGTTCATCATCGTTCTCTCATTTGCTTTGGTTCAATCTTGACTTTTGAGGAGTTTTGTTTAAATGGGTTTATGTGGAAGTGACCTCATAGGTATTTCTGTCATTTTATTTGTCCATTAACTATAGGGACCTATTTGACACATTTTGAAAGTTCAGGTATTGTAGAGACACGTTTTGAATTTTGGGGGCTGACTTGATATAACTCCTAAAGTTTAGGTACTGAAAGAATTTTCAAAAAAAAAAAAAACCTCTAAATGTACAATGTTTAAGAGCTGTTTAAAAAGTAACCGCTAGAAGATGACAATGAAGAAGCTAGAGCACCTAGGGGTGGCTACAAGTTGAGCTCCTTAGGAGCTATTCGATCTTGGCTCGGTTCGGTTTAAATTGAGCTTCGAGCCAAGCTCAAGCCCAATGAAGTTCGGCTCGTGAGGCTCGTGAGTTTAATCAAATCTAGTAAAATGCGACAATCTAGTACCCAAACTTTCAAAATGTGACAATCCAGTACTTGTCGTTAAGAAATCCGTTAACCAGCCATTAAGTGATATTTGAAAAGTCAAAAATGCCATTTGAATGCCATCTAATTCTCTTTATCAACCATCTAAACGTTGACAAAAAACTGAACAATCCCAAATCTTAGCCTCTTCTATTCAAAAAAGTTGGTGACTGTTTAGAAGAATATAGAATTTTGGACTATTCATTTTATTGTTAATGTTTGAATGGTTGATAAAGAGAATTAGATGGCATTTGAAGGGCATTTTTGACTTTTCAAATGTCACTTAACGACTGATTAACGAATTGGTTAATGACAGGTACTGGATTGTCACATTTTGAAAATTTGGATATTGGATTGTTGCATTTTAAAGTTCGGGGACCAAATTGTCACTTGAGCCAAAGTACAGGGTATTGATCGGGAATTTCCCTAAATAATATTTTTACTTTTATTTATAATAGTAAATAATGTTTATAATTCTTATTTTTTGTATGTAAAATAAAAAATTACCTTTATATGTATATTTTTTATCTTTTTAAAAAGATTGGCTTATAGACGAGCTCGAATTGCGAGCTTTTGAATTTAGCTGAGCTCAAGCTCGACCCTAACACTATTTTAATGAGTCAAGCTCAAAATGCCAAGTATTCTGCTCGGCCTAGCTTGAATTCACCCCTAAGAGCACCTAGTGGCTCAAATTGAAATTTGAGGGATTTTTTTGCGAGATTTTAAATTTTTAATGCAAATTCATTATTTAGATTTTAGAAAGGAAATTTTTCAAGTGCACTTAATAGCATGGTTTTTAAAACCGACCTGGAGACCGAACAGGTCAGGGATCTGGTTACTGGGTCGAACAGTTCGAATGGTTAATTGCCCAGTTCAGCAATTTGTTTACCAAAATCAACATTTTTTTGAGAAAATCCGGTTTTGGGGGGAAATGGAACTGGTTTGACCGGTTCCTGTTTTTTCGGTCCGGTCCGGTTTTGAAAACCATGCTTAATAGTAATTTTCCCTAAGGCTGTATTTGGTTTGAAGGAAAAAGTAGGGAAAGGAAAGGAAAGGTAGGGAAACTTTTACAAACTTTGTATGGGTTTCCTTACCTTTCCTTTCTTTTCCTCACCTTTTCCTTCAAACCAAACATAGCCTAAGAAAAGGACAAAACGTGCGGGGCTACCATACTATCTTTGTATCGCGTAATATGTTAACATATGAAGACTCTTTAGTTAAGCAGGTGGAAATCGAAGTTGGAAGGGTTTTCCTCGATAGATTACAGATCACATCGAGGTACAGGTACGTTACTAGGGTTTTCTGCAACTTTCTCCTCACCATCTCTTTGCAGAAATAGGTTTTCTTCTCCTTTTCTCATCTGCGTACTGTTCGTTATATGCGTACGTAATGCGAGCGCTGGGCACATGCTTTTCTTTTTCTTTGCGTTTCTTCGAAAGGAGGGTTTTATCGTTTTTACTTTTTTTATTTTTTATTTTTTCTCTTCATCATCTTCCTCCATCGTTGCTTCTATTTCTGTGCGCCTATAGGGGTTCTTCCCTTTCCTATTTTCGTTCATTTCCCCTGTGTCTTTAGGAGAAAACAGGACCTCCGGCTCCGCCCCTTTTCATTTCAGCAGCGATCGTTATCTAGAGAAATCCCTGTCCGAACTTCTTCCTTCTGTTTAATTACTAAATTTGGTCCTGTTAGTTGCTTTAATGCTTTATCTGTAAGTAGTCAACGGCAAAATTAGAGATTTATGCTTTAATAAATTGAAAAGAATATGTATGCTTTCTGTTAATTGCTCAAGAAAAGTTACTTTAAACATTTATAAAAAAATTACTTTAAATGTTTCAATGCGTTCTATGTCATGTAGCTTATATGAATTACTGATCTAAGAGCGTGTAATTTATGTTTGGGTTTTTGTGGACATTTTTGTTTCATTGATAATTTAAAATTGATGGTGCAGTTCTGTTCTTGGATGTGTAGATTATAATACTATAATTTGTACACCCGTTTGTTACTTGTCACTTGATTGGCTTACTTATTTGCTAAAATATCTTGGGATTTTGAATGTGATCGTTATATTATTAGTGATTGTTAAGATAAGCTTGTTTTCCCCATTTTGAAATATTCTTTATTATTTATACATCTATTAGAAATCCATTCGCTGGAGGTTCATGCCTCTTTTATTGATTTACGTTTCATGCCTTAGGATGGTGGAACACCATTCCTCCGATCTTTGTGTTTTGAAACGTTGAAAAAAGGTAGGATTAAAATAAATAGGTACAAGAATTATGTTAACAGTGGAGATGGAATAATAGTTAAGAGTGATATAGTCTTGAACTAGGATTCCACATTATATGAAGGCATTTTTTTGAAGCTTGGAGCAATCTGAATTGCTGGACCTATCAAGCTTGTAGTTGCATAAGCAACTCAAACTTCCCTTTATCAATCTGTAATAAGGATTATTAAAGGAGAAAAAATCCAAAGAAAGGAGACAACCCCCAAAACCATGAAAGGGTGAGGTAATAAAGCAACCAATCTCTTGTAACACTATTTCTTGTGCTGTTAGTGTTTAGGAATTTGTTGACATTGACTTCCACAGGATGACACGAATGGTATAATCTACTGGAAGGCATGGTCATTTTACGCAAAGAAAAGAAAAAGTAAAAAGGAAGAGGAGGTGGGGTGATCTTACCCAGCCAATGATGCAATAGAATTCAAAGTATAGAATGATTCTTTCTATATAGTTTTAACCTTTAGAAAAGGCATGATTCATTGTTCATGGCCAAGGTTGCTGTATTTGGGGAAAAAGGGGGGAAACAAATATTGGCCAAAGCATTCAAGTCCCAAGATTATGACATGATAAGTATGCTTTCTCTTAGTGACATAATGCATTTCTCTTTTTATTAGGGAGTTTCTTGAATTCATATGTTGGGAGTTGTAACTTAAAATGCAAATTAGCCACAAAATCTTGTCTTTATTTCTTGGCTCTTGGTTTAAATTCATTTATTTCAGCATTTGTTTTTGGACAGTTAGCATTACTGCATTACACCACCCCCTTTCCCTCACAATCTCCTTTCTCTTTCTTTTCCTTCTTTTTTATTTTCCCCCCATGAATATGTATTCCTATGACTTCTTAAAATTATTCTGTGCTGACGATTGCAATTTTGAATTTTAAATTTGAAGTTGTGGCATTTTCAGGTGTTAAGATTCATGGAGTCCAATGCACAGTCACAGTCTCAAGACAATGCTGATAAGAAGCCATCATTCCGTAAACCTTCCAATGATGCCGCTAATAGGAAGTATCGGCGCCGTTCTCCTGGTAGTGGATCAGCTTCCTCGTCATCTGATGGTTAGTTCTCGATTAGCTTGTTATTTTGTGGGACTTACTCTCTTTAACATTTTGAATGTTTTTTCATTTAATTAAAATTTCATGTTATTTACTGGTAAAACATGTTCTTTAATTAGTTTTTGTATCAATTATTTTCAAATGAGGTTCTCTGTTGTTCTGAGTTTAAGATAACCTGAACATATTATTATTTGAGGCTAGTGGACTGTTTGAACTTAGACTATCAGTGGCTTATGTGGGGAAAGAGAAAGTATGTTGTGAATAGGGGGGTTCTTATTAGGTGTTTGTCTCCTATATTTTTGGAGAGTCCAGAGCATTTTTTAACAGTAGAGAATCCAGGACAAATTGGATTGGTGTTTGGTACAATTGCAGTTTTCTTAGAAAATGGCATAGTGTTGCATTGTTGTTTTCTAAGAAAACAACCATGAATGTTGTTTGGTAGTGTTGCTGCCACCTAAGCAGATGCAGCAACACTTACAAAAATTTCAGTTTGGTAAGACGTTCTTACGATGTCAGGTCATCCAACCGTTGCTAGCAACAGTGAGCCATGGCAAGAAACGTCATGAAGGTGATGCATTTTTAGTGTTTTTTGGATAAATATCTTACCAAACAGAAGATTAGACTGTTTAACTAGAAATGCTTAGTTGACATATATGTGGCACCATTTTTCTGGGAAATGGCAATGGTATCAAACATTCCCTTGAAGTTTAATATTTGGCAGTGGACTTTGTAGGACTTAATTATTAATTTTGTATCTCTACCAGGTAGTCCCAAGCGTGGCCGAAGCCGTAGTCCAGTTTATTCCAGGGAAGAGCCCACAAAAGTATCTGATGATCGACGGAGAAGGAGGGATGATGGAAGGGAGATAGAGGTAGATCCTGCTCGTGGTCGGTATGGCAAAGATAGTGATGCATATAGACATTCTGATAGACAGTCCTATGGAAGTTCACGTGATTACCGCAGACATGATGACTACAGCAGACACAAGTATACTAGTGAAGGGGAAAGAAGCTATCAGAGGTTGTCTTCTAGGTCTGGTCGAGAGCCAAGAGGTGACAGTCGTGCAGATAATACAAGACATGAAAGTGAGCATGATAAATTGAGAGACTATGGATGGCATGTAGATAAGCATTCCCTACATAAGCCTGATGCTGACAGACACAGAATTAAGGATAAGGAGAGAGAAGCTATGGATCTAGAGCATCCAAAATATAAAGGTAAAGACTCAACAACTGATAGAACTGTATCTGGAAGGAGACATGCTAATTCAAATATGGAAGAGACTAAGATGGGGGATTGGGATAGGCATAACAGGGATAGAGGAGGTCGAGATGACAAAAGGGATTATAAAAGGAGTCTAGTTGACCACAAGAATGACCAAACATCTTACCATGGAGAATATAGAGGACATGGAAAAGACTCGACCACAGAGAGGGATGATGGTGGAATTTCCCTTAGAGAAACTCAAAAGAGCAACTCAAAGGAACTGGAGAGGGAAAGAAATGCTGCAACAGAAAAGAGAAAAAATGATGGCAAGGATACTGAAAGGCCAAAGGAGCGATATGATAGAGAATCAGAGGAACATTTTAAAAGTGATTCCAGAAACTCTGGTTACAGACCACGAGATGTGGTAAATGAACAATATCAAGATAAAGAAATTCGTGCAAACCTGGATGAGGAATCTTCCAAAAAGCTAAAGTTATTCAATTCGGACACTGGCTCTGGTTCTGCAAAAGAAGGTTGGTAATTTACTAACTTAATAGTTTTAATTAACTTCATTATGCATTAAGCATTTAATCAGTTCTTCTTTTCTTATATCCTGGAGTTTTTTTTTTTTATTCCTTGACTCTTAGAACATTATTTCAGGACAATCAGTTGCAAAGTCCAGTACATCATCATCTGATGGAAGGTTGTCTTCAACTTCAAAGCAAGTTCAAGAGATTGCTGATAAAATTTCAGAACATGCCCATTCTTCTGCTGGTGAAGCTGAAGCTGCTCATGATCTAAATGCTGCAAAAGTTGCTGCAATGAAAGCTGCAGAATTAGGTACGAAACACTATGGCAAATTATGGTTCTTTTTTTTGCTATGCTGATCTCTGTAGTTGTTAAGTTCTTTTTAGGCCTAATCCCTGAAATGATTAATTGAAATAGGAAATCCATGTGAATTATATATAGCACCCTATATTGTGTCCATTATTTCTTGTTTATCCTTTCGATACTGGCATTCTTGTTCATCTTTTTATTAACTTTGATTTACTAATTAGATTTATTGGGTTTGGGTTTACAATTAACCTAACTGATTCAATGAAGCTCTAACTTCTACATCCCTATCCTAAATCCTAATCCTATTGGTCGTAAATAGGAATCTTTCAGCTGCTATTCTTATGTGGTTTTTTACAGTTTTTTTTTTTTTATGGATAACATTTTTTACAGGTTGGTTAGTTCCATGTGGTTTGCACATATGGATTAAGATTTGTGTTTGTGATTCCTGATCCAGTCCATTCTTGGCCTGGCCAAATTTTGGTTGTGGTTTATCCGGACCAGTTTGGGTCAGATTTTGGTTTGACATTTCTAGACTGACCTGAATTTGATTCTACATATTGTCATTCCCCTGTACACTGAAAGGTTTTATATTTCATGGAAATTTCTGGAGTTTTGACATTTTGTTGGTTAATAGAGTGAAATATGGGTGGATTCGACCAAAATGGTAAAGGGTCACAAGTTTCCAAGAATTACAGTTTTACTATTTAGCTTTATCTTAGTTTCACACTTCCACTTGTCAGAAGCAATAAGACACACCAAGGGTATGATAGTGTGCATAAATGAAAATCACAAGCATCTCTTGGTACAGATTTTAATGTCCTTCTGGAGCATCAGGATAACATCTCTTATTTGACATTCTTCATTTTGGTTAATTAATTTTTTGATCAATATTCATTTTGGTTAACTATGGCCTTCACATACTCAATTTCCATTTTGATCCTGAACAATGAAGATTCTTTGTAGCCAATTTCTCTGATAAATAAATAGACCTGTTCACAGGCTGGGCTTCAGGCTAAGCCCATGAACATTTTACACTGTTTTGGGCTCGGGCTTCAGGCCAGGCCCATTCAAAATTTGGCAAAAGCTCAACCTAGCCCAACCCATGAACAGGTATACCAATAAGTAATATCTTATCTTACTCCATTTGGTATAGTTTTGACCTTCATGTCATTCATTTCTAAACTTGACGCTAATTAGTAGTCATTTGACTCATTTCTTCTCTATCATTAATATACATACATGTGAACAACTGAACATTGCATCATTTGGTTCTTTACATCATCTTTCTGATGCTTGATATTTGGTGTGAGTTCCTGGTAAATGATAGAGTGGCCAGTTGGAACCTGAGCTTACCTCAATGCCCAGACAGAGTAAACTTGTCTTTTCTATTAAAAGAAACAAGAAAAACTGAGTGACGTTATTTAGTTGGAAGTTGATTCTTGTGGACTAACTCTAGAATTCTTCATACTTGTGCTGATTTTGGACTATCTCTACATCAAAACAGTGAATAGGAACCTTATCAGTGGTGGATACATGACTACCGACCAGAAAAAGAAACTTTTGTGGGGGAACAAAAAGAACAGCAATACAGAAGAGGTATCATCAAAAGTTAATTTTATTCATTTCAAAAATAAATGTTAGGGTTATTGCAGGGTGTTGGTTTCCTTAATGTTATTTTTTTAACTTCTGTTACTGCCTGTTCTTTTTTGCCTTGCGTCAAAATCTTGCAGTCAAGTCACCGATGGGATATGGCACAGTTTTCGGATCGAGAGAGACAAGAGAAATTCAATAAACTCATGGTAATTCCTGATTCCTTTATTTTCTTTTACAGTTGTTACTTTCAAAAGTGTTTACAGATGGTAAATATCTATTATTTTTCTTCCTGAATGGCAAAATCTCTGTTGGAATTTCTCAACCCTTACTAACACTGTTTTAGAGTCTGAGGTTGCCTTGGTACCTATGGCCAATTGTAGGGTGTGAAGGGCGAATCGAAAGTAGATCACAAACAGGACGAGAAAGATGGAGGTGCCCTCCTCCGAGCCGAGAAACAAAAAGAGCTTCAGCTGGATTTGGAGAAGCAATACACTGCTGGGCTTCGTCGGAGAGATGGTCGCACAGTTGGACTTGGCCTGTAGTAATATCCTTCTGCCTTTTCTCCATACTCTTGCAACAATATTTCTTAACGTTTTCATGTACTCGTGTTCTCTGTAAGAATCATGGTTGTGATCCCCTGTATTTTTATCATTTGGTAAAAGGATGTGTTTGCCAAAAACTTGGGATCCTGACAAAAGAGATGCCAGTTTGGATCATTGTTGCCATACGGTTTCATCATGTAGCAAGTTAGGAAAGTCTATTGACACTAATAAATGTTCATAGTGGGTTCTAACATTGCTGAGAGTCCGTTTGGGTCGCAGTTCGAATTGGTATCGGAATGGTATGGTCATTCCCATAAATGGGGGAATTGTCATTCCACCAGGAATGGGAATGAGATTCTGATTCCATCCAACCAAACAGTTGGCATTTGTTTGATTCTGATTCCTGCAAACCAAACGGGACCTAAATTCCCCATCAAGCATGTTTTGTCCCTCAATAAAGCACTGTTGCACAAGAACACCACCTTTATGCTATGTTTGGTTTGAAGGAAAAAGTAGAGAAAGGAAGGGAAAGTTGGGGAAACTTTTACAAACCTTTAACCTTGTATAGGTTTTCCTACCTTTCCTTTTCTTTCCCTACCTTTTCCTTCAAACCAAACATAGCCTTAGGGTTTCGACCATTGATGATTGCAGTACCAGACAGACTCGTCAATGAATTTTGTCTCCTCTTCTCAGGGTCCATTTGGGTTATAGCCGGAATTGGAATCGGAATGGCCTACTCATGGTCTGGTTCAGACGGGAATGGGAATAAGAATTGGAATCAGTAGGAATGAAATTTCATTCCCAAAGGAGGGGCAGGGGATGGCCATTCTTCAAATGGGAGAATGCCATTCCTGTTTCCATTCCTGTCCAACCAAATTATTGGAATCAAAATAATTCATTCCAATTTTGATTCTAGACCTTATTCTTGTGAACCAAATGGGGTCTCAGTGATTCTCGCGTTTGAGTGTAATCTTTATCAGACCAGATCTCATCTCTTGGCGTAGCTTGGCCGATGGGATGGGATTGGGATCGCAGCACAAATGGGAAGGCACCTTGCATATTCTAGGAAGCCTTGTGGCATCCAAAGAGGGTGCCAGTCATATAGGTCCCTCCAGTGACCCAGTCCTTCACGAATGTTGCCTTCTTAGAGCCTGCTGGTGAGTGAGTTCGCTGGTCACATGACACATCTTTTAGCCAAGCTTCAAAATTTCACGAATCAGCTGAAACGGATTGGCACCGATATTCTTAAGGCTGCATTTCGAACTGATGTAAAATGTCATCGGCTACTCGGTGTAAATATTTACGCTGGTTTGATTTTGTCGGTGTTTGGAAGGTGTACAATCATGATCAGCGTAAAATTTCATTCCAGTTCACTTTTGTGTACGTTTAGATGGAGTGGAGTTTTACATTGTAAATCAATGTAAAAGTTCATTAAAGCAAAGTTTTATATCGATTATCGATGTAAAGTTTAATTTTTTCACACTTTTTGAAATTCAAACGATTATTTTTTAAGGGTTTTAACAGTTCAGCCCACCCCTAGAAATCTAAAGCTCCACTTTAAGGGTGGACTGAATCCTGACCATGGAATCCACGGGTAGGATGCGATTTATAGGGGGGTCTACTAGTAAACTAGGAGGGGACTACAAATCAGATTTCTGAGGGAGATTGCAGTCCAAAAATCCCTATTTTTTAATGGTTCATATAAAACATCATCGATATACTTCTACACCGATGATGTTTTACATCAGTTCCAAATGCACCCTAAAGATCTTTTGGGGTTTTAAACGGTTTCAGTGGGGTAAGCAGGTTTAGGTTTAAGATTGATACCCTGACTAATTTTAGGAAAAAAAATTGAAAACAGAATTTGTCGGTTGAAACACCCGGAAAGCATGTTCATGTGTATTGGGTGCATCTCCCGATCTTCAGATACTTTGAAGCTTAATCCTAGTCGCAAGATACTATAGCCGCAGTGCCGCACATCAGGTGCATCTCCGGATACCCTACAATCTGAAGATTGAATGGCCTGCATCTTGCAAGCTTGCACAAAACTGATCATATTGAATCAAATTTGGAATGGTTCAGCTTTTTTGGCTTCATGGGGCCACTCCTACACAACACACAACAGGGGTTGCTTGTCCCCCATCCCCTTAACCTCCCAAAATTTGAGTGACCATCAGTTGGTAATGTGAAGTTGCTCTGCTGAAAAACTTACTACTTTTTTCTTTTAGTTGTTAAATTAATTAAATAATAAAACATTTAAAGATGTAATGGGCTATTCAATTTCAGTTTTAGCCATTAAGGAGGTTAGAATCTACTTAAAATCTTATTAAAAAAACAAAGCGATGAATTTTTCAGTTTAGCATCTTCAACTGTTATCAAACAACCCTAACCAAATAAACTTTTATAAGTCCCATGAATCTAAAAGGTTTCAGTGGATAAATACATTTATAAAACTCAAGCTAACAATTAGCATCGTATAAACTATATGGCAAGGGCGGAGCCAGAAATTTTTTATGAGGGGGGTCAAAACTCATGGATGGGGGCATAGGGGGGCCAACTATTAGGTGAGAAGTGAGAAGAAGGAGGAAACTTACATAGAAAAAATGTAATTTGTGTATAGATTTCTAGACCATAGGGGGGGCCATGGCTCCCCTGGGTCCCCCTCTAGATCTGCCCCTGCTACATGGTGTTTGGAAGCGTGGGCGATTTTTGGGACCGATTTTCAAGAAAAAACGCCCATGTTTCCAAGACCCGTTTTTCACAAAAAAAAAAAAATGCTTCTGTCACATAGACAGTGAACAACACTATGCTGTTTGGTAAGGTGATTTTCATCACCGTTTTTCATGTATGTGCTGACAGGTAAGTACCACATAAGATACACATCAGTCAACCGTTGGAGGAAATGGTTCACCGATGCATGTAACGCCAAATTTGACATTTTATGCATCGGTGGGGTCCCGATTTTTGAGGCATGACTGGTTTTTTAATAATCGGCTGAACCAAACAATGAGATACATGGACATTTGTTGAAACACCTACGTGGATCTGATGTGGCACCATTTTTTTGAAAAACGGCCACGGTTCCAAACATCCCCCTATGTTTTATATGGCCCAAGATGAAATACCTGCTATACTGTTGTTAATATTTGCTTATCGACTTAACTTGACCTGAGACTTGACTTGGACGCTGTTGTTTCTTAGCCAGCCCCAGTCGTTGGCTTTTCCTCTTCTATGAGCCTCAGATGAAATTTGCTTCTTTCAGCATTGGACCCATTAGTATTTCTTAGGCCAGCTTGGTATTTCTTTGTTTCGAAATATTGTATGTGTTTGATATAGGTTCTATTTATTAAATAAATATTTATACTTGATTTATCTGTAAAGTCAAAAAAAGTACTTGATAAATCGTTTATTGATAACCAGGCGCCACATCAATGGAATAGTGAATAAAGGCTTAGTTGTTGGGGGAAGCATTAAAATGAAGCTTCCTCCAATAGTTAACATACATATAAATCAGAACCACCTTTTATCAATACGGATGCGTACCAATCAACATGATGGAATAAATGCTGATTTGGTGATGATATGACACTGTTTATCAAATAAACAAAAGCTATACCAAACACTGCCATTATGATAAATTTGACCTAAATGGATCGTGATGGCCCCCATTTATGTGTTTCCCAAAAAGCCCATGGGCTTATGGGCCATATGCTATGAAGAGTCACAGTGAACTTAGATAACTTGGGGTACTGGTTGGCTTTCAAACCATATTGAAGCTCACTCTGGATCTACTGCAAACACAAATATGTATAAATAAAGTCTGAATCTCCTACCCACATTTATCGGAGCCACACATGGAGAACATCTCATCCTTTGCATAGTATTATGCAGGGGGAGATGTTCCCAATTCACAAGGGGTAGCGTGTTCACTCGTAATTGGTTATATATTCCTCACGTTTGAGTTAAACTTTACTTACAGACCCCTTCTTTTAGTGTGGCATTATGAACCTAACCATAATTGATGATGTCGTGCTTTTAAAGGATTTAAAATCCTTAACATGCTCATGAATGGTCTTGCACTAAAGAAAATTATAGAAAATAAAAATAAAGCAGAAAATAGTGGAAATGATAAAAATAAAATAAGAAACAATAAAAATAATTGAAAATAAAGTGAAACAAAAATAGAAAATAAGAAACAGAATATAGAAGGAAAGTAGTATAAAATAACAACAAGAATAAATGAAAAAAAGCAATGACAAAGGAAAATTAATAATATACAAAAAAATGTTCTTCGTCTACTAAAAGGGTTAATAAGAATAATTTATCCCAAACGTCAGGGGAAGATTTTTGGAGGTGTTAAATTTGAGGCAAAGTTTAGGTATTTGTCAGAAATGTCAGGAGAGGTATAAAATACTTATTTTATTTATTTATTTATTTAATTTTGCAAATTAAGTCATTTTCAGAGTGGTTGAAGGCTTGAAGCAAATTACAATTTGGAATACTAGTGGGTACTTCCACAACAACTTGGGTGTTGACTTTCCGATCTGAATTGATTGAATTGGTGGAACCCACCTAGAAGACCATCTCGACCGCAAATTGAAACATCATCAATGATGGGACTAACGATCTTTCCTTGTCAGTTATGTCGTGTATTGCTGGCCGTTCAAAGGGGATCAAACAAACAAATAAAATTTCAAGAAATTAACTAGCGGAACTCACAAATTTTACCTGTATCACACTGCAGAATTCTGAATTTTACTGTAATTCTACATAATTCAAAATAACAAATATCTCCACCCTAAAACACCAATACTCACCCATATATTAACATCAATTTGGAATCAGCACCTATCCCAACTATATTGTGGAATTTTGATTGACAGAAATAAGATTTGAAATTGGAATTAGAATGATCAATTTCAATTTCAACCATTTGATTGGATAGAAATGGCCATTCTGATCTCATCCCTTGGGGATGAGAATCTCATTCGGTCATTCTAACTAGAAGAAAAAGAGACAGATGACTTAAAATTCCCTCCAACCTTATTTCTCTTTATCGGACAGCAGCCCTTCTTAGAAGGCGTGCTCATGCATGTCTTATGAAATCAGATTTTGATTCCAACCAAATATATGGGGGAATAGACAATTCCGATTTTAGGGATTTTCAATTCCAAATCCAAATCCAATTCCAACTGCAAACCAAATAGATCTTAAAAATATAAAGATGA